GCCGTGTGCACATGAGGGCAGCACCCGGGTCACCCTCTATGTTCACTGTTTGGGTATATGGGAAGCGCCTGGGGGGCATTGCATGGTGATTCTACATTAAGTTAATATTATTAAGCCCTACAAGGGACCGAAGATCACTTTACACATTCATTTCTTGTGGCACTGGGTGTGGAACCCAGGGCTTCTGGGCAATGTCTACCACTGAGTCACATCCCCAGATTTTTATTTTTTAATATAGCAAAGACTATTAAAGGAGAAAGGAAAAGATGCGCTCCAGGGAGAGGGTGGGTCCTCTCAGGGAGGACAGTGACCCACCCCAGCCCTTTTAAATTTTATTTTGAGACTGGGTCTTTCACTCATCCACCTGCCTCAGCCTCCCAAGTAGGGGGGTGACAGGGACACACCACCGAACTCACTATCAATATTTTTTCCCTTTCTATCTTTTAAAAATGATTTTTGGGGGGGGTACCAGGGATTGCACTACACCCTGAGCCACATCCCCAGCCCTATTTTGTGTTTTATCTAGAGACAGGGTCTCAGTTGCTTAGCACCTTGCATTGCTGAGCCTGGCTTTGTACTTGTGATCCTCCTGTCTCCGCCTTTGGAGCCGCTGCAATCATAGGTTTGTGCCCTCACACCTACCCAAGATGATTTTTTTTTTTTTTTTTTTGGTGGTGCTTGTGCATGTGAGGCAAGCACTCTACCAACTGAGCTGTATCCCCAGCCCAAGACGATTTTTAATTGAAAGATGTTATTGAGATAATTGTATATTCACACACATTTGAAAGAAAGACCACAGCGGGTGTGAGAGTGATCTGGCTGTGGCATCTGATGCCCCCTCTGCGGTGAGGGCTCATCTTGGGGCTAGGCAGGTGACTCCTTCCTCCTCCACCCCCGACGCCCCACTTGCGGAGACAAGCTGTGCGCTGTGTGGCAGCGGAGGACCTGCCTCGACAGAGGGGGGCTGTTCGGGGTCAAGGGTGCAGAAGTGGTGGGTGCTCTGCTGAAGCCTCTCAAGGAGCTCTCCAGAAACCAGAGAGAGATCCGTGGCCCTGCGTTGGGCTCCCCCAAAGGGATCGTTTTTGCCAAACCGCAGCCCGGATGTGGACACTGATAAGGTCCAGCAGTCCTATTCCGGGTCCTCTGTGTTACTTCTTGTACTGCTGTGGGGGGTCCCTACAGTTTTATAGCGGGACAGGTTTGTGCCCTCGCTCCCATGTCCCAAGGTGGAATTGCCACTGCATCCAGGGTCGCTCCCACTGCCCCCTCCCCACACAGTAAGCCCCGGCAACGCTAATCTGTCCTCTCTCTGACATCAGGTCATTTGAAAAATATTATATGAACAGAATCCTACTAAGTGTGACCCCGCGGGCCAGGTGGGCCCACCACCAGCGCGCCCGGCCCGTTCCTCGCCAGCGCAGGGAGCCGGCCTGCCCCACCCCGCGCTGTGACGTCACGCGGTGGCCGGGCGCCCAGGGAGACGCCCTGCCGCGGTTGGGCCTTCTTGTCCGTGATTGGAGGAGGCACTCTGTCACGTGCTCCGACGGACCAAGGAGGCGGTGGGCCAGAGGCTGGGTCACGTGGCCCTCGAGGCGGGAAAGGGCACGCCGGTTGGCCCGCGGGCGCGCTCCCGGGCGGCGTTCTGACGCGGAAGCGGGGTCGCCGCGAGGCCGGAAGTGGGCGTGTTCTTGTTGTTGGCTGACGTCTGAGAAACCACCCCGGCGGCCTCAGGCGTGCGGAACGTGGGAGTGTCGCTGCTCGACGCCACGACAGGTGGCAGTAAACACGTTAGACAGGTCCCTTCAAGACACCGCTAAACCCGCCGGCCAGTCCCCAGCCCGCCCCAGGAGCACGCGTGGTGGGCAGAGAGGGAGCTGGGCCTTTGTGGGGCACGGGGTGCGGCTGGCCATTGCCCTGGGACAGGTCACTCCCAAGCTCAGGGACCCCAGACAAATAAACGTGTTTTTCACTGTGCACATGGGGAGTTCAGAAGTGATGTGGCCGTGTGGCCGCAGTCGAGGGCAGCTGGGGGCTGTCACTGGCAGGCTGGGCTGCGGTCACGGTGGCCGGCAGCCTTGACCTCAGCACTGCTTGAGCTTCCTCCCGACATGGAGACTGGCTGTCCCCAGGGTGAGCAGTCAGAGCAAGCAGAGAGCCCATCACACTCAGCGACCCAGACTGGAGGCCACAGGCTGTCTCACTTCTGATGTCCTATGGGCCCCACAGCTCAGCCCATTGTGGGGAGGGCGCTGCCCCAGGCCATGAATTCGGAAGGCAGGGCGGCTGGGGCCAGCTTGGAGGCCGCCCCCCACAGCATCTGCACACAGGAGCACAGCCCGAGCCCCCGCCTCCGGTGCAGGCCAGCACAGGAGGACAGGTCCCAGGCCCACCAGCGAGCTCCACCTGGGACCTCACTGGACCACAGTCAGCTACCTCCCCTTGGGTTTGCTGAGCTGGGACAAGGTCAGCACTGCCTGGAGCGTTCGCTAAAGCTGAAGCCAAGACGGAGCCTGGCGGAGTAGAGGTGGAAAGAGGAGGGAGGCCGCGCCGCGGGCCTCACCTGAGCTGAACCGGGCTCTTCTGGGGCCTCTGGGTCCCAGGCCAGCCCTGCTCATAAGGATTAGGAGGGGCGTTCTGTCCTGTGAAACCGGATGATTATGGAACCAGTGACAGACGGAGGGACAGAGTGCTCTGTCCATACTCCAGAGTGTCCTCAGCCAGGACAGGAGCCAGGTGACAGCTGCAGTGTGGATGGACCTGAGGACCTGGTGCTCAGTGAGAGCCAGACACACAAGGTGGCAGCCTGTGACCCAGTGACAGGAGAGTCCAGAGACGGATGTGGCCCCGGGGTGCAGGGCTGGAGGCGGGCTCTGTGGGCTCTCAGGCCCTGGGAAGTGAGCAAAGCGAGGAGCAGGAGCTGCTCCACGGGTTGCTGTGTCGCGCTGTAAAAGTGGCAAAGGTCAGTTCAGTCACTAAAAGTGCCCGCCGTCCACTCTGCTTCCCACAGGTCCTCTCTCCACACGCGCCCTTCCTCGGGCTCCCCAGGGGCTCCTCAGACCCTCCCAAGGTGCAGCACCTGGTCCTCACCCAGCTCTGGCCCACCCCGGGCTCCCCACACCTCTGCTGCTTCCTGCACTCCTGACACTGGCCACAGTCACTGCCCCCACTGCCGTCCTTAAACGCCTGCCTCTCTCCATCCCCCACTCCATTAAAAGCAGGAGCTGATCTACACACATGGGTGCACAGTGCACCCGGGCAGAAGCCAGGGCAGAAGCCAGGCTGCGGTGCATGTTTGGACTATTTTCTGCAAGAACCTAAGTGTATGAAACAGATGGAAAAAAACAGGTGACTCCGTGACCTCCCCAGAAGTGGAGGGGCCCGGGATCAGTGCGTGGTGGCTCCGGGACTGAGTAGGAAGAGGCCTCGGGAGTGTGACGGGGAGGGTCTGTGCTCTGGCCTGTCTTTGGCCTTGGGGGGAGCCGTGTTGGCACCTGACCTGCAGCTGGTGTCCAGGACACAATCCTGGCCGGGAGGGCGGGCACCCAGGCTGTGCCCCACCCTGGCCCGCTGACCTCTCTTCCCGGATGCAGCGCCTGGCCCAGGGTCGTTGGCAGGGACCTCTCTCCTGCGGTGCGTGCGGTGCCCTGTGGCACAGGCTGCTGCTCCCGGGCATCGCTTTCCTTTCTCTTAATTGCTTTTTTTTTTTTTTTTTTATTACAGAGAAAATGTGCTTCAGGAACTAGACATTATGTCTGTAAATACTTCCAGCATCAATGTCCGGGCGGCGCTCTGGGTCCAGGGTGCTGAGCAGCTTCCACCCACCCAGGGCAGAGCTCCCCAGTCATGAGGATCCAGTGTCCCAGATGTCCCCCAGGATCCCCTGGGGGCAGTCAGCCCTCCCCATGGAGAACAACTACCCTGACAGAGAAGGGCATCTTAAAAACAGACTATGACGTCACACTGTTCACACACTAACAGTTCCCAACATCAACAAATGTCCTTGGGTGCACATTTCCATCGTGGCTCTTATATGTACATACATATTGGGGTTTGGGGACACCTTTTAAGGGTGGCACCTGCATAATAAGTCAGTTACTCTTTCCCGTGATGAGTGCCGGCGCCAACCTCAGGAGCTGAGCTTCACCCGGAACCCTGCTGCTGGCAGCTCACAGCCCTCCTAAACAGATGGGGAAGCTGAGGGACAGGGCTGGTGCCTGGGTCTCCCGGCCAGCATGGAATCCACTTCCGAACACCTGAGCCGCCACCCCAGAACGGCCCATGAGCCACAAGCTGAGAATCGTGCCTTAAAGCACCCACGGGGACCAAGGCCACGTGACCAGAGCAGATCTGCTACCCGGAGCCCCCAGGCCCCCACTTTGGCACCCCACGAGGCACAGCCTCCTGCCCCTGGATATGGGTCACATGTCCTTGCTTTGGCTATCCCCTTGGAGGCCAGCTTCTCTCGGGCCTCAGTGTCTCTGACGGTCACAGGTGGCCCTTCTTCCACAGGCCAGGCTGAGTTCTGTGTCCCCACCCTGGGTGGAGAATGACAGATATCCAGAGACGAGGTGGCCTGGGCTCCCACCTGGGGACACAGAGGGCTCACGCTATCACACCCTGGTGTCTGCAGGCTCCTCCCACATTTGGGGTGAGGGAGCCTCTGGTGTGGTGTCCTGTGGAGGCACCCTGCACCCCTTGTGGCCTCTGGTGACAAACGCTCTGCATCTCATGTCTCCCTGTCTCTCCAGCGCCAACACCAATGTCCCCACTGCTTGTTCATTAAGCAAATGTCCCCGAGTGCAGGTTTTGGGGAAGGCAAGAAGCCACTTTGGGTGCTAATCTCTGCATTGGTGAAAAGTCTCATTGTCTGTGCCACAAAGGGCGCCCCCTCGAGAGGCCCCTCAGGCCCCCGAGGGAGGCGGACGGCATGCGGCAGAGTCGAGTGCTTTTTTTTTTTTTCCAATATGTTTTCAGACGTTGATGGACTTTATCTTATTCATTTATTTTATGCGGTGCTGAGGGTCGAACCCGGTGCCTCCCCAAGTGCTCTACCACTGAGCCCCAGCCCCAGTCGATGCCCACGGGAGTCTGGTTGAACAGTCAGGCCACAGGGCAAGAAGCCCACCCTGCCACCCTCCTGTGTGCCCCCGCTCTCCCAGCGACATCCCTCTGGGGGAGCAGCAGGAACAGGAATGGAGCCTGGGTCCCCAGCCCCATCACGCGGAGGTCCACTCTGATCCTCGGTCGCTATAAGCTCTGCAGCAGGTGGAGCGTGTGGCGCAGGTACTGCAGGGCAGCCGGGGCACACTCGCGGCGCTGCAGGGTGCCCAGAGAGTAGGAGGCACCTGGCTGACCCCGCACCCAGTAGGTGAGCAGCAGCCCCTGGCCCTCGCCACTCAGCACAAGCTGGGTCTGCAGCCCACTGAAGCTGACCTGTGGGGCAAGGAGCAGGGGTCAAGATGGGGGCCTCCTCCTGCCCCTGCCCGTCCCTGCCTTCTGGGAGGAGCCCCAGCCTGGTGAATGCCAAAGTCAGAAGCCACGGATTCTACAGTAGAGATGGGGACACTGAGATTAGCTGGGGACTCAGCTGCCAAGGCCCCCTGAGGCCCCCCGAGGGCCCCTCCTGGCCCCGCAGCCCTCGTAGAGTGCGGTCTCCTGGCCCCAGCCAGGCACATCTTTTCTGGCTGTAGAAGCCAGCGCAGGTGCAGAGGGGCCGGCCACTGGGCTCTGCAGCCCCGAGGGACGCAGAGGGCACTTTCTCCCCTGAGACTGAACAGTAACAGGAGCAGCACCGTCAGAGCTGCCCGGAGCTTCACCCGAGGGTCCTCAGGAAAACGACCCATGAGCTTCCCGTGACATGCACTCTAGCCAAGGAAGATCCCCAAGCGTGACATTCTGCTGTCCCTAAACGTCATCACTATGCGTTGTGGGGCTGAGGATGACCCCTGGGTGGCCCCCCAGCCCGTTCACACTCAGGAGCCAGCGCTTTTGGGGTCTCCTGGGACCCCAAGCTGTGCCAAGAGGCCCTGGCCCACCTGGCCCCTGGCTCACCTGCAGGGTCCCGTTGCTGAACAGCAGCAGCAGCGCCTGCGAGGTCCCCAGGAAGCGCAGCAGGCAGAGGCCCAGCGCAGCGGGCGGCTGGGGGGCAGGCGAGGCCCCCTCCTGCAGACAGGGCGTCAGGGCGGGGGCCCCTCTCCCTGCCCCCCAGCTCACCTCCCGCAGGCGCCTCTGCATGTAGCCGGTGAGGAGCCGCAGGACGGCCAGCTTGGCGCCCAGCGCCCGGGGGACGTCCCTCAGGGCGAAGGTCTCCAGCCTCCCGCGCGCCGGCAGGTAGCAGATGTGGCTGTGGGCAGGGGGAGGGGGCCTTGGTCCTGGGCACTGTGCCTGTGGGCGCCGTGCCACCTGTCCCAGCCTCCTGAGTGGTGACTCTGAAGAAGGCTCTACCCGCCACTCTGTCCCCCCAGCCCTGGCCTCTCCAGTGTCCTCATAACCCCAGATGCTCCCACTGACCGCCCCTCAGCCCGCGGCGCTCCGCCCTCCACGGCCACAGCCACGGCCTGCCTGGCTCATCCCCCGCCTGCCTGCTGGTCCCCCGCCTGCCTGCTGGTCTCTGCGTCACTTGGGCCAGAAAGACCTGCTGAAGGGTGAGCTGGGGGCTGGGGGGAGTGGGGGCACCCAGAGCCTGGGGAGGCCTTCTGTCCCTCCCCCCAGTCCAGCCTCCTGCTGTGGTGTGCCCCAGCTGGGGGCCTGGCACACCGGCCCCCCATGACTCCCCTGAACCTCGCGGCCAGAGGCTTCTTCCCGCCCCCTCGACGGCGAGTCCCCTCCCTGCTGAGCTGCCCACGTGGGCAGCTTCCTGCAGATGGCAGCCCGCTCACTTGTTGAGCACTGACCCCGGGCAGTGAGCCCTGCCAGGAGTGAAGACCAGTCCACTCAGGGGGGCAGGAGGGTGGTCTCCAGGGAAAGGAGCCCCAGAACTTACCTTCCTGGGGGGCGCAGGGCCATGTGGGTGCCATCCCGAAACAGGACTCCACTGCCCCCATCCGACAGCTGGTAGCCAAAGCCGTACTTGCTGGAATAATCCACCCACTTGGGAGCCCAGAGGGGGGGCTGCTGCTCCCCGGGGGGGTCCTGTGGGGCTGAGCACAAAGATGAGGTGTGCTGACCGGGGTCAGGGTGGGGCCTGAGCGGAGTCCAGCTGCTTCACACAGGGCTGGGCGGAGGGTTGGGGGCTCGAACAGAGGGCCAGTGGGCAGAGGTGTTGAAGAGTGGCTGGGCATCGTAGTACAGGGGAGGCCGAGGGAGGAGGGTGGCAAGTTTGAGGCCAGCCTCAGCAACTTAGCAAGACTCTGTCTCCACATACAAGACTAAGAGGGCCGGGGTGGCTCAGTGGCAGAGCACCTGGGTTCAGCCCCCAGCGCCAAAGTGAATCAGTGAAAAAACACTGAAAAAAGTTCAGGGACGGGTCTCCTGATTCCTGCCGCTCACAGGGAGAATCTGGGGCCAGGATGTGCTTCAGGAAGTGAGGGACTCTCCACCACTGCCACGGACAAAGCTCCAGAAAGTGTGGTTTTGTTTTGTTCAAAGAATTTGCGTTTGAAAATGGAGGTCTCCCACCGTGGGGTGCGGAGGGTTCCTCTAGCCTCTGGTCTCCTCCGTATTTGAATGTTCTCGATACAGAGAGAGGGTCAGTGACGGAGGAGGGATGGGTGTGCCGGTCCCTCCGATCTGCCCCTCCTTTGCTGTGTGGCAATGCCACCCTGGGGCTGGGAAAGTGACGAGGCCGCAGGTGCCTGCCCAGCATGCAGAGGCCCCCGTCCATCTGCACACCGGGTCACCATGTGCCAGTCAAAAATAAAAACAGACAAGTGAATGCATTTTTCTGTCGACTGAAAAAATACTGCTCAATGCCACGCGGGATCCTGGATCAGGCCCTGGATCAGACCCTGGGACACAGCTCAGCCACAGAGAGCTCGGCCCTGGGTTCAGTCCCCAGCTCCACAAGAAGAGGAGGAAGAGAAAGGAGAGGCAGTGGGGACAGTGGCATCTGACAGAGGGAGCCGGCTGCTCGCGCCGAGGCAGGGGGTCGCAGGAGCCCAGCCCGGGGACCAGCGAGGCCCGTCCAGTACGTGGCTGACAGCTAAATGGACACAGCGGGCACTCGGTTCCCGTGTGGCCCTGTGTGGGCATCTCAGCCGCCCACGTCCCGGCGGCGAGCCGACCTGGGAGGGGTCGGGAGGTTCCTGCATATCTTTTCGACTTTCTGTAAATCTCCAACCACTTTCTACCATTTATTAAAAATTTTAAGAATCTAAAAGTTGGCTCCGGTGGCTTAGAGGCTCTAAAGTGAGGGGTCCTCCTCGTACTCAGCCTGGGGAAGGGAAGAGGCGATGGGAACAGACCTGTGCCACCTGGGGCTGGGGCCTCCCCAGGCAGGTGGGAGGCTGTGGCGGGTGACAGGTGAGGGGAGGCAGGGTTTGGGGCTTGGGAACACTGGAGGACAGGGTCCCACCTCCCGGGGTGGGGTGGATGGACCAGGCGTGGTGCTGGCGGAGGTTGGAAGTCAGTTCCCTCCTCGGTCCCGGCCTCCTCCGTGGCTCTCAGGCTGGGTAAGAAGCTGAGGGGCCGACCCTGAAGGAGAGAGCTCCCCAGCCCTCCCCAGCAGGGCTGAGCCCGAGGCCAAGGGGCTTGCTGGGAGTCACTGCACCCTGAGGCCTCCCGGTCCCCAGCTCAGCCCCAGGGAGCCCCTGAAATGGGGAGGCCCTGGAGGGGGACCCTGGACACTCAGGTCATGCTGGGCAGACAGGGCGGGGCGGCTCCTACCCACAGGGCCAGCGTCCAGGCAGAGCTGTAGGTTCCTGATGGCGGCTGCCACCTCCGTCTCTGGGCTCTCCTGTGGCCCTGGGGAGTCAGAGCAGGTGGGGCCAGCCAGGCTGGGCCCTCCAGACTCTCACATCCAGGAAAGTCTCATCTTTAACCCAGAAGGACAGTTCCCCATGTTTCAGGTGTGGACCAGGAGAGGGCGGTGGCCAGGCTGGGGACGCGCCTCCTGCAGGTGCTCACTGCCAGGGCCAAGGGCCTGCTCACCTGCCGGGTCGCTCCGGAGGGTCCCTTGTGTGAGCAAGTGGACGAGGGCCTGGGGACAGTGAGCCCCTCTCTCAGACAGGGAGGCCTTTGGAGGAAGTGGGAGAGGTGAGGGACCCCGGCCCCCAGCCCCGACCCCCAGAGCTCCCTCCGCCGCCTTGCTCAGCACCACGGGAATGGCTTCCTCGGGAGCAGCTCACAGGGCACACAGTAGGCACTCAGAAGCACGGTGGGGTGAACCAGGTGTGGGGTGGGTCCCAGGGGGAACCGGGTGGAGGGGAGCTGGGTACAGAGGGGCCCCGTGAGTCAGACCAGATGGAGGGCCTGGGGGTCCCCAGAGGCCCGGGAAGCCTGCGTGGGGCAGGGCTTCGGGGGTGCGGTGCCCTCCTGCGCCCTCCTCACCTCGCTGCCCCAGTCCAGGGAGTCAGGTTCTGGCCCTTCTTCTCCTGGGCCCGAGGCCTCTTTGGAGGTGCAGGGGCCTGAGGGAGCACAAGGCTTTGGCAGAGCCGCGCAGGCAGAGGGGGAGGCCTGGGCAGCGCGGGCAGAGGGGGAGGCCTGGGCAGCGTGGGGCAGAGGGGAAGGCCGGGGCAGCACCGGCAGGCGGGACGGCCGCGGGCAGGCGAGAGCCGGTGCTGGGGACATGGGCAGGGGTGGGCAGCCAGGCACTCACAGGGAGGTCCACACTGGGTCGACAGTAGCTGGCCCACTTTCCGGAAGAGGCTGCCCACAGGTTGTGGGAAGGTGAAGGCCGGGGGGCTGTGGCGGGAGTGGGGCGGCATCCGCTCCGGAGTGAAGCCCTTCAGAGCAGGGCGGAGGTCAGCGCACTCACATGACAACAGGTGCTGTCCCCTTGTGCCTGCACCTCCACGGCTCTCCTTCTCCACCTGACCACAGGCTGCCCGCCTCCCAGCACCCGGCTCACCTGGGGCCAGGCCTCCCTGCACAGGGCCTGAGCACCCTCAGCTCCCACCTGTTCTCCCCCTGGGTCCCACCTGTGCCCCACCTGTGCCCCACCTGTGCTTCACCTGTGCCCCACCTGTGCCCCACCTGTGCCCTACCTGTGGACCACATGTGCCCTACCTGTGCCCCACCTGTGCCCTACCTGTGGACCACATGTGCCCTACCTGTGCCCTACCTGTGCCCTACCTGTGCCCCACCTGTGGACCACATGTGCCCTACCTGTGCCCCACCTGTGCCCTACCTGTGCCCTACCTGTGGACCACATGTGCCCTACCTGTGCCCCACCTGTGCCCTACCTGTGGACCACATGTGCCCTACCTGTGCCCTACCTGTGGACCACATGTGCCCTACCTGTGTCCCACCTATACCCCACTGTGCCCCACCTGTGCCCTACCTGTGCCCTACCTGTGTCCCACCTGTGCCTCACCTGTGCCCTACCTGTGGACCACATGTGCCTCACCTGTGCCCTACCTGTGTCCCACCTGTGCCTCACCTGTGCCCTACCTGTGGACCACATGTGCTTCACCTGTGCCCCACCTGTGCCCCACCTGTGCCTCACCTGTGCCCTACCTGTGGCCCACCTGTGCCCTACCTGTGGCCCACCTGTGCTTCACCTGTGCCTCACCTGTGCCCTACCTGTGGACCACATGTGCCTCACCTGTGCCTCACCTGTGCCCCACCTGTGCCTCACCTGTGCCCTACCTGTGGCCCACCTGTGCCTCACCTGTGCCCTACCCGTGCCCCACCTATACCCCACTTGTGCCCCACCTGTGCCCCACCTGTGCCTCACCTGTGCCCTACCTGTGGCCCACCTGTGCCCCACCTGTGTCTCACCTGTGCCCTACCTGTGGCCCACCTGGCCTCACCTATGCTTCACCTGTGCCCCACCTGTACTTCACCTGTGGCCCACCTGTGCCTTACCTGTGCCCCATCTCTGCCTCACCTGTGTGAAGAAGTCGTCCTGCAGCAGGTGGTCCAAGTTGGGCCTCTCAGCTGGATCAGGTGCCAGGAGGCGGGCAATGAGGCGGCGGGCATTGGGTGACAGGTGGGCAGGCTCTGGATAGTGGCCATCACGGATGTTCTGGTACATCTCTGACAGGGATGCTGCCGCAAAAGGTGGGGTGCCAGTCAGCACTGTGTACCTGGGCCAGGTGGGGGCAGGAGCAAAGGCACCCGTGTCCTCAGTTTGCTCACAGCTACCTGTGCACACCCAGCCATTCCTACTCACCTCACGCCCCGCTCTGACACTAGGTGTGCACTCTCCCAGACCTGAGCTGATCCACGTGCCCTGGCCTCTCCTGTGCACGCTGCTCAGGGACTTTGTGCTCTACCTGCCAGCACCTGTCCAATCCCAGCATGTGCACAAGCATCTGCACCCTGATCTTCTGTGCCACCCACCTGCACACACCTGTTCAACATCTGTGCACACTCATTCCTCCCTCAGAGGTACCTGTGCACGTGTGCCCCACTTACTCCTGCACACTCACATGATGACAGGTGCTGTCCCCTTGTGCCTGCACCTCCACAACTCTCCTCTCTCCACTTAACCTTCCCCGGTACCTGCCTTCACCTGTCCTTGCCCATGTGCATGCTCCCACCTGCCCATTGCCTGGTCCTGCTGGGGCAGTCCTGCCCCCTGCCCCACTCACATGATGCAGCCCAGGGCCCAGATGTCCGATGGGCAGGAGTGCCCCTTTCTGGACACCACCTCTGGGGCCAGGAGGTTTGGAGTCCCACAGAGCACCCTGGGAAGGAATGACGGGGGTGGGAGGCTGGGGCCCCTTGCCAGGTTTGGGGCCTCCCTCACCTACCCACAGGGTCTCAGGGCCTCCCACTCTCACCTGTGGCAGCGGCCCCCTGGCCCCAACCTGGTGGCCAGTCCCAGGTCTCCGATTTTCACCTCCATCTTCTTGTTAAGGAATAAATTACCTGCCGGTGGGGAGGTTGCAGGGGCGTGAGGGGGGGCACCCTGCCACTCCCGCCCCTGCAGCCCGGGACTCACTGAGCTTCAGGTCTCTGTGCACGATGCGCTGCTGATGGAGGTAGCGCAGGCCACCGATCACGCCCCGCAGGTAGTAGCGCACCTCAGGCTCCGTCAGGGTCTGCCGCGCCTTCAGCACGTGGGCCAAGGACTGCAGGTGGCCAGCAAGCAGCACACAGCACCCAGCGGGTACAGGTTAGGTGGCCATTGAGATCAAGGGGCCCAAGAAGGCAAAGGGAAATCCAACTTGGCCCAGGCAGGCATAGCGGACGGTGGGACGGGCCCAGGTGAGCACACGGGACCCTTGGGAGGGCTTGGCGAGAAGTGGGAACAGGCAAGTTCACAGGGGCCCAGATGGCCCAGAGGAGCTTGAGAAGGGCTCCTGACCGGAGGTGAACAAAGTGGCACCCAGGTGCACCCAGGTGAGTGCAGGTGTGCTCAAGTGGGCAGAGAGAGCTTCTGTGTGTCGGTGAAGTTTGAACTAAGTTCAACTGGGCCAAGGTGGGCAGAGCTAGGTGCAGGAAGAGTTCAGGTGAGCACAGGTGCATACAGGTGAGCACAGGTGGGCATGAGTGGGTTTAAGTGGGCCAAGTAGAAACAATTAGGTTCAGGTGGGCACCGTGGCCACACATGAGCACGAGATGAGCCTGATGACCACAGCATGCACTGAACACAGGTGGGCACAGGTGGGCACAGGGGGTTCTTGGTGGGCACAGGTGAGTGAAGGATGGACACAGATGGCCATACATGGGCACAGGAAGCAGACTGACTGGACAGAGAACAGCAAATGACATTGGCACGGATGGGAACAGATGGACAAGGGGCGGGCAGCTGGCTCCCCCTCCCCCAGCACCTGTCGGCTGCAGTACTCCAGCACCATGTACACATGGTCACGGTCAGCGAAGTGTCCGTGGAAGGCCACTATGTTGTGGTGCCGCAGGCGGCTGTGCAGGGCGATCTCGCGCTCCACCTGTGGGCCGTCCCCACATGCCCCGGTCTGAGGTGTGCCGGGGGATTCAGGCCACCAGCATCACCCTGCCCCCTGGGGAGGAAGGGCAGCCTCCCCAGCCGCGCTGCTGGCGGGACCCTGGAGGGCCGATGAGGTGCTCACCTTCCCTCTGGAGGGAAGCCTCCCCGCCCGCGGCACCACCTTAAGGGCAAACACAGCGCTGGTGGACATGTCTGTCAGCTTGTAGCAGCGGCTGAAGGCGCCCTGAGTGAGAGAGGGGTTAGCCTCTGGACTGGACAGGTGCACAGGGCATGTGGACACGCTGGCCACACCTGTGCAGATGCAGTACCCATGGAGGCACCGGGCTGCTGGGGTCAGGTGTGGCCAGCGCTCTTCACACACACACACACACACACACACACTGGAGACAAATTGCACACAGCTCACACCCTCAAAGCTGGACCCATGACACGTGGACAGGCACACAGGTGCAGGCACACGCAGTGCTGGGTGCATGTGACCCACAGACCACAGTGCAGCACCTGGTCCCCACACCCAGCACCCAGCACATGCACACACCTAGAAACAGTGACCAGAGACCCAGCACCCAGACACAGACACAGCACAACACAGGACCAACACATACCAGCCCTCAACACAGCCCACAGACCACAAAAGTACCTGGACACACAACACACAGGGGCACAAAACACCCAGATACACAGACACATCCAGACCTAGACGCCTACAACCCATAGAACACAACACAGTAGCTGGACACACAACATCCCTACACAACACCTAATGCACCACACTGGACACAACACAGGAGCACACAACTCAACACCCCGACTCACAATACACCCCAGCACACACAGACACACAACATAATGCATGGACCCAAAGGACCTGGGCACACAAACGCACAGCGGGAGAAGAACCGCGCAGACCCAGGAGCACCGAGAAGTGCAGCACAGTCACAGACGTACAAAAGGCACCAGACGCACACCCCAGACGCGCGCTGAGTACGGGTTCCGGCCACAGGATCCGCACTCCAAGCCCCAGATGTGCACCAAGCCCCAGATGCCCAACCCACGCAAGCTCCGCTCAGGACCCCAAACTCGCACGGATGCGCGCCACACGCCGAGACAAAAGCTGGGCTCAGGAGCCACAAGCCGCGCCACACATCGCGCGCTCTCTCCCCGCCCTGCCTCGCCCCCGCCAGGATCCCGAGCCCGGACCCTCGCGGCGGACTCCGGGAGCCCGGCCCCAACCTTGCCGATCAGCTTCCCGCGCCGGTAGACGCGCCCGGAGCTGGGGTCGCGCAAGAAGGCTGCCACCGGCTGGTGGCTCCGGCGGCGCCGCCGCCTCGGTCCGGGCTCCATGCTCCGGCGCTGCGCAGCCAGCTTGCACCCGGCCCGCGCGCAGCCGGGGCTCCTTTTATCGGCGGATGGGGGCCGGGGCGGGGCCAGGCGCTCCCAGCCGCGCCACCCGCGGGCGGCAGATGCCGGGCCGCAGGGGCTGGGGAAGTTCCTGCCACCAGGCAGCGCCCCGCCCTGTGCGCGAGTGGGAGCCGAGCGCTGCCTGGACCCCTTTGTTCTTCCAGCCCTGCACCTCCAGGCGTCCTGGGAACTGTCACAATGCACCTCCAGGCGTCCTGGGAACTGTCACAATGTCCATTCCCCGCCCGCAGAAAGCTGAGGCTCAAGGCCTCCCAGGGAAGGCGGCTGCCACGTGCGGGCTGCGGTGGAGCGCTTAGCAATGAGTCTGATTGTGGTCCCGGGGCCCACATGACCCGGGCTTGATGGCTTGGGGCACTGGGGCACAACAGGATTAAGAGCGGGAGAGAAGCCCAGTGTCTCCAAGGCTGGAGCTGGTGGGCAGGGGGAGTGAGACCCAGTAGGGGGACAAAGGAGGCAGGACTGACTGGGGTTCTGAGAACAGGGAGGACACACGAGGGGCTGTGTCACATAGGAGGGAGATTCAGCACTGAGGAGGATGTGAGCAGACCCTGTGTCCTGGGCAGCCTAGCCAGGTGTCTCTGGGATGGCGAGGGGAAGGTGAGTCGGTGCGGTGGCAGACCAGGCCCCAGCCTTGGCCGCTGGCCTTTCCTGGGCACCACCACTTCCCCTCACAGCCTCTGCCAGGGCCCGCTGTGCCTTTCCAGGTGAACACCCAGAGCCCCAGGGTGCTCAGGCCACTTGGCGGGCCACGAGGGAGCAGTGGCCATGGACCCAGGCAGCTGCCTTGGACTCCTTGGTATTAATCCCCAAATGTTATGTAACACACAGTGGGGAGGGGTTAGCAGGGCTCCCTGTGGCTGGAACCAGGCCTTGGAATTTTCCAGAGACCAGATTTCAGAAGCAGCCTGGCCACTCCAGGGGGATGAGAGAAGCACTCTGAATGGCTGCCCACTCACCTGGTGTGTCCAATGAGGTCCAGGGAGTGAGGGACCCAAGGACCCAATATGTTTGATGGAGCAAGGTGCAGCTACCTTTGCAGGGTCCCAGTCTCAGTGCCAGGGCGGAGGACTCAAGGCCCACTGAGGACCAGCTGGCTGCGCCCGGGAGCCCAGGTTCCCTGCCAGGGAGAAGCAGTGTAGCTCAGGGGCACATGGGTCTGAGCCATCACGTCACTGGAACCCTGAGGCACTTCCTTCTCTCCGCACCCCTCCACTGAGATAACCCAGTATGTGCTCAGCACCTACCATGTGCGGACCTTGCTGCCCAAGACAGACCCAGATGGGCCCTTGTGCAGCTTAGACTGGAGAAGGAACTGCCAGGAGATGGTCTGAGATTTAACCAAGTGCCACAGAGGGATGGGAAGGCTTTGTGGGGATCACAGGCAGCCAGGTCCTGTCTGGGAAATGGCTGGTCCCTAAGTTAGGGTGCTGTTCTTAGCCCCAAGGGACACAGACCAGAAACCCCAGCTCAGAGAGGTTTGTGCAAGCCCAGATCACCCACTGCAAGGGGCCAGACCTTGCCCAGAGTCCAGGCAGCAGTGGATCCACAGCCCCTGCCCCACGGCACTGCCCCTCAGGCCTCCTGCCCCAGCAGCCCGGGGAGCAGTGCCAGGCAGAGCCCTTGTTCCAGGCCCAGTTGGTGGGAATCCAGAAGTTTCCTGGGGGAAGAAATGAGAGTTCCTGGCCCAGAGCCCCGCAGCCTGCCCGTCAGCTGATGCTCGGCCCAGGCCAGTCCCCCCCCCCCTGGCTGCCTCTGGGGTTCTCTGCCTCAGAACTGGGGACCTTTCCTGGTCCCAGCCTGGCCCCTCTGAGCAGGGACCCCCTCCCCACCTCCTTGACAGCTGCCCTAGTCCTGGTGGACTCCCTGCCCACCCTTGCCTGGTGGGGGCTCTGGGGGCCCCTGGGAGGAATCCCCAGCACAGCCTTGGCCTGCCCAGGGCCTCTCGCAGACATTGGGGCCCAGGGGGACGGGCAGTGGGTCCTAGAGTTAGAGGTGAGGGCTGTGGGCTTCGTTCCCTGGATGCGCTCAGCGCCACGGGAGAGTGCGCCTCACGGGAGCAAGTTCCTCCCGAGGCGAACCTTCCTACTCCACCGCAGAGCAAAGGGAGCAGGGTGGTGTCAGGACAGGCCCCGGGGTGGCCCTGGCAGTGGGGGACATGCCCCTGCACGGCTGGAGAGGACGGGCCGCAGGGTCAGGACCAGAGGGAAACTGGCTCGTTCAGACTCCTCTCTTGAAACCCAGCCTGGAGAGTGAAGTGAGCTGAGCCGCACAATGAAGAGTGGAGCCCCACCCACCAGGGTGCGGGCAGCCCAGTGTCCCTCGGGGAGAATGGACAGCCCAGGTGGCCTGTCCCTATAACCAAGCACTCATCCACCCACAGGAGCCAGGCCCTGACACACACTATCCTGTGGATGGCCCTGAAGACACACTGCTCAGTGACCTGTGCCAGACGCAGACTGCAGGGTCCACCCACAGGAGGCCCTTGGACTCAGATCCACAGAGACAGGAAGCAGCGCAGTGGGAGCAGGGCTGGGAGGGGACAGGAGCCCGTGTTCAGACGGAGCTTTAGGGTGGGAAGATGGAAAGTTCTAGAGATGGTGTTGGGGACGGCTGCTCGGCCCTGAGATCGGGCTTCATGCCTCTGAAACTTGCACTAAAGAAGGTGAGGACGGTACATTTTGTGTTACGTATTTTTTGCCACAATAAAAAAGTGAAAAACAGATATTTTGTGTCCCTCAGAGCCCAGCCTGGGGGGCTTCCTGCACCCTCACTGTACAGAGGAGCCAGCAGGCCCAGTGTGTGGGCCGCTGTTAGGGGCCCAGTGGCCTCGGGCTGCCCGAGCCTGCATCCCCACCCCGGGGTCCCGCTGCCAAGGGGGTGGGTGCGGAGCCCTGCCTGGCACCCACCCTGTGCACCCATCCGGGATGCAGGCCCAGGTCCCCCCGTCTCCGCTCCCGCTGCCCTGAGATGATTCTTCAGACTCAGCAGATTTCTCAGGAGAAGCTCCCGGAAGCTTTTCTCAAAATACCTGCGGCAGGTGGAGGGGCCCTGAGCGGGCAGGGAGCCGGACTCCCAGAGGCCTGTGGCTCCGCTCACGGGGCTGGCACGGGGTCGGGTCCACCACGGCCCAGCCTCCCAGCCCCCTCCTGCTGGAAGCTGCCAGGGTGGGAGCATCTGGGGACGTGACTCAGCCCAGATCCCGGTCCCCTTTTGTGTCCTGGAGTCCCACATGCCTGGACTCGTGAGCCCTCAGCCCTGCCAGGAAGGTCCCCGGGGACCAGCAGCCCCAGCGGCAGAGGAGGCAGGAGGGGCCCCACCTGCGCCAGGCTCCGGAGCCCAGCCCAGCCCGTGTTGCAGGGACGAGGCCCGCGCGGGCCTGGAGTGGGCGCCTGGACTTGCTGCGGCTTCTGGAGCACCCCAGGACCCCCCTTTCTGCTCTTCCCCACCCTTGCTCTAGATCTTCCAGTCCTCCGGGAGCCTCCCTTCCTCTCCTGGGCCCCGCCGCCCTCCTCCCTTCACCGCCCACACTGTCCAGGGGTGGCCTCGGCGACGGTGGTGCCCAAGCATCTTCATTCTGACTGGAGGAAGCCTGAAGCCAGCTGTGGTGACCTTCCCCGCCTCAGTCTCCCCCAGCAGAGCCTGAAGCAAGGGTGCAGAGAATCAGCCGGAGAGCAGAGGAGGACCTGGTCACCACTGTTGGTCCCCGAGGCCCAAACACACCGGGGACCCTGGAGAACTGACCGCCGGAGACAGAGGCAGACAGGTCCACCGGCTGCTGCTGCCCGCACTGGGCTGGGCTTCCCCAAACGCTGTGAACTGTCCTGTGCGCCGCTCCATTGCTGAGAAGCTCGTGCAGGAGGGCCCTGCTGCAGTGCCTGCTTGGGGGGACAGAGTGGCCCTCGTGTCCTCCCACCCACCTCCCTGTTGGTCCTCCCACCCACACCAACCTCATTCCCTTGCAGGGCCTTTGCACGTGCTCCTCCACCCCCACATGTTTGCCTGGTCACGTTTTAGGACCCAGCAGGCAGGGGCCACCTTTGCCCAAGTGGCCACCATATCATTCTCTTGCCCTGATAGACGCCTGGGCTCCATCGTAACCTGAAATGTGCTTTGGTTTCTATCCACCAGATTGGGAGCTCCAGCAGCAGGTCCTCGGTCTGACCTTGGCCCTGCCATGTTCCAGCAGGCCCGGCTCCTGCAGAGGGACACCCTCCCTGCAGCCTTGCTCCTACCCGACGCAGCATCCACCTCCGTTCAGGGACATTGATGGACTCTGGCTGTATTCAGGGTGCTGAGTGGGCATTGGAACTGGCCAGATTCCCACAGGAATAATCCAGTTTCCATCCGGGTGGGTCTTTCTACTAATTACCAGAGAAAGAGCCCAATGTCATAAGGGACCCTGGGACAGAGAAAGGACATTCATTGGAGAAAAAAAAATGACTGGTGAAACCCACATAAAGCGCCGGTTTAGATGACACTGATGGTGGTCACGGCTGCGGCCGGTCAGCCCTGCAGAAGCCCCAGCACCGGCGCCTTGGTTGGGTCAGATCAGGCTCATTTCCCGTGGTTGTCACCACAAAGGGTCACAACCCGGATGATCTGGGCCACACCAGATCTGCTTACCACAGAAACAGCCCCCGTTTTGTATCTTACAGTACCGGGAAGAAGTCCTAGGCCCAGGTGTGGCAGGGAGAGGCCCGTCCCCTCCTCCAGCTCCAAGGCCAGCAGCAGAGCATCCTCCAGCCCTCTGACCCTGACCCTCCTGCCTCCTCTCAGGAGGACCCTGTGGTGACCCTGGGTGACCCCTGCTCAGGGGTCACCTCCCCTGATCCCCCCTCAGAGCCCCTTCTCCCCACCGCCCGGGCAGGTGCCGTGGCCTCAGGTTCTGGGGATCAGGACGTGAGTGTCTTTGGGGTGGAGGCCTCATCGTCCTGCCCACTGAGGGCGCACAGGGACACTGGAGTATCTTTGCAAATTCCCTGGGAATCTAAAATCATTCCCAAAATAAACCTTCTACTTAAAAGGAAGAACTGGGAGATGGTTCCAAAAAATCCAAACAAGAAGTACTCAAAGTCCCACGACCCAGGGTGCCGTGGGGCTCCGCCACCTCCTCCTGGCGTGCCCTGGGTCGACCAGGGGAGTGCTTTCCTCCCTCGTGAATGCCATTACAGCGTGCCTTCAACGACTCGCTGGTTTTCAGGAACTTTGTAAAGCCTCCCCACTGTTCCCAGCACCCCAAACGGCAGGGCCCCTCAGCTTTCCGGCCTCCATGCTGGCCCCACACCGACCGGCCTCCTGGCGGCCTGGCCCAGGGCTGGGCACCACCAGGGGGACCATCTCCCACACCCGCTCTCTCATCCCTGGGTCCTGTCGGGGTCCCCTCCTCAGGGGAAGCCTGTACCCCGTCCCCAGAGGAACTCAGGACCCTGAGCACGTAACCCCCACTCAAGAGCCACACATAAGACCCCCACGTGCTGTGCAGCCGTCGCACCATCCGCGCATTCCACCACCCCAGAGCAGCCCGACCCACTCGCACGCAGTCCCCCGCCCCCTGCACCCCAGGCCCACGCCCGTCTCTGGACGCCCCTATCGCTGGGTCACACGCTGTGGCCTTGTGTGTCTGGTTCTCACCGAGCACAAGGTCCTCAGGTCCGTCCACACTGCTCTGTGTCCCCTCACTCCTGCCCTGGCCGAGCGCTCGGGGTGGCTGTGGGCCAGGTGTGTGCCTTCACCTGTGGTGCACCTTGGGCTGCGAGATGGCACTGCTGTGCGCGTGGGGGCCAGCCTCTGGGTGGGAATCGAGCAGAACTGCTGCGTGCTGGGAGGAGCCGCCCACCAGAGCCGGTCACACCTCGTCCCCAAGGGCTCCTGCCCGACAGACACACTCAATCCGTCGAGGAAGTCACTTCGTTTCTGGGTCAGGCTCAAAGACACATGGGAAAGGCACCTTGAGAGGCGCTCACGGTTCAGGTCGGGAGGCGGAGGCCCGGATGCCCTGCAGGGCCCCAGCTGCAGGAGGCCCCACCTGTGCGCTGACCCGCCCTGCCAGGCAGGGTGGCCTGGACGTAGAGCAAGGCGCCCACCTTCAGACACAGTGCAAGGCCAGCAGGCCCTCGGCCAAGGGGGCTGCTGGTGGAGCCGTGGGATGCCGGTCCCATGAGACTGGGACCTTTCAATTACAAGTAGCAGAAACTAAAGTGGCTACAGTGGGCAGAGCCAACAGGGGACGGCTTCAGGTGAGGGTCAGTCTAGACTCGAGCCTCAATACCAGCCCTTGCCACCTCCTGCCCTTCTCCCGCATCTCCCTGGGAGCGCCTCTCAGGGTGGCAGAGAGGCGCAGGTCTCCCCCCACAGGGAGCCCTGCCTCCAGGTCCAGTCCAGAGCAGGCTCTCATCGGCCACAGGGGTCCCAGGCCCAGTCTCCAGCCAACCAGTGGCTGGGCGTTCGGAGTCTCTGACCGGCTGAGCAGGGCCCTGTGATACCTATGGGTGGGGGTCCCGCCCACTGGAAGACCCCTCCTGAAATGGGGTCCCCAGGAAGGTTTCACATGTGAAGGGGACAGCTGTGACAACTGCGGACACAGGGGTAGGGGCAGACCTGCTCGACAAATTCCAGACACTCGGCTGGGACTCGGGTGTCGACAGGGGGCAGACTCTGAGTGGGCACGGAGGCCCAGAGCAGGAGGCAGGGCCAGACCCGGTCCTCCCTGGCCTTGGTGGGCCTCGGTTCCTCGCTGGGCACACCCCTGCCAGGGACACTGAGGAGAAAGAGACCTGGGGTTCTACGGCTATTTTATCTTTTTGTTTTGTTGTGTCCTGGGATTGAACCCAGGGAGCCCTGCCGCTGAGCACACCCCAGGCTTTCTGGCCTCGTGGCCCAGGCCGACCTCGAACTTGCCGGGACTGCCTCAGCCTCCTAAGTCACGGGACGACAGGCACGCACCTCTGCGCCCAGGGGGACCTGGTTCTGTACAGAGTTGGGCCCCCCAGTCCACTCAGGAGGTCAAAGTGTCCCGGGACCCGGTGGTCAGGCCCAGGTCATGGGAGACCATGGAGTGTTGTAGGGGCACAGGGAGGCCACGGAGAGACCCCAAGATCTCAAGGGCCTTTCTTTGGGAAAACGCAAGCTGCTTTTAACAGCACGTGGTTCTGGTACACTGAGGGACAGTGCCCTCGAGGAGCAGGACCCCAGTGGTGAGTTCAACACATGCAAACGCCACCGGCCCCACCCAGGTCCTGCACGCGCCTGTCACCTCCCAAAGTTGCCTGTGTCCCTCTGCTGTTGTTGATCTGTTTATCAGTGTTGGGATGAACCAGGGCCTCACCAGGGAGACGAGCACTAACCACCGGGCCACACCCAGGGTCAGAACGTCCACTATAAAATCCACACTCCTGACACATTTCCAGTGCACAAAGTCGTGCGTAACTAGAGGCCTGAGGTTCTTAAGCCCCAAGGCCGCGAGACCACAGAGGCAGCAGAGCCCAGCAGCCTGATCCCCGTCCTGTCCTCACCCTGCCTCAAGGAGGGGGTCCCAGCTGGGCTCACCAGGCGTCCTGAGCTGGGGTCCAGGCAGGGGCGGGGCCAGGCAGGCTGGGAGGACTGCTGGGATACTCCTCGTGTGCCGGCCAGCCCCAGCCCCCTGCTGGGACACTGCTGAGCCCAGAAGCTGCCTCTGCTCCTGCGCCTGGTGCCAAGCCCAGCTCTGAGCCTCCTGGGGAATCGGCTGCCGGGACAGACAGGGGCCAGGGGACAGAGGACCCTGGGCCAGAGGGGCAGCCTGGCCGACCTCAGAGCCCAGGCCTCCCCAGGCAGCTGCAGTGCCTGCTGTGTGCAGTGGCTAGAGCCTGGTGGACTGGCCTCCATGATCAGGGAGCCTCTGGGGGGTCCGGCTGCCCACTAACTGCCCAGGGCCTCACTTACTCCTCAGCCCTCACCCCAGGCCTGTGCGCAGAGTGCCCCTGGGGCTCCCACTCTCCCTGTCCTGCTTTCTCTCCCCTCCTCTCTAGACCTCTGCATCAGGCCTAATGTCCCATGTCCCTCAAGGTCACCGAGGGCCTGCTCTGGTGCTGGTCTGGTCCATCCTCTGCCCTCCTCTCATTGGCCTGGCACCTGCCCCTCAGAAGCCCCGTGCTGCGGCCTCAGGGACCTGAGCTGTGGCCATTCTCCTCCCCCACCCCAGCCTCTGTCACTCAGGCCCCTGAGCACCGGGACACGGGGACCCCACTGCAGAGCCCCACCACAAGGCTCACCCTGGGGCTCCCTCTCCCTCAGGCCGAGCTCCCTACTCTACCTGGCCTCAGGTGGACCTGCCAGCAACTCCCCAGCAGGGCTGGCACCACCTGCCCATGCCCTGGCCGCCCAAATCAGGGCAGCCTCCTGTAGCCCCAGGCCACTGGGCAGACCCTGTCCTCATTCCCTGGGCCCAGGGCCTCTGAGTCCCTTCCTCTGACCTCTCTGTGGCTAGGCCTCCTCAGCAAAGGCCGTCCTGACCCCTCCCCTGCCTGCTTGAGCCTGGGCTCCCTCCTCCAAGGGTGGGATCAGAAGTTGGGGTCATGCCTGCCCCCGTGGGCCTGTGATGGGCCAGTGTTGGAGCCGGCTGCACACAGGTGGTGCTTAATACATGGCAGTGTGACTGTTCTGAGGTGCTCCAGGATGGAGGGTAGACCGCAGGACCAGCGCCGCTCCGTGGCCCCAGCCTCGCCAGCCCCTACTCTGTGGTGAGGGCCGGGGGCTGCAGGATGGGGGCCTGGAGGAGAGGTCACTCAGGCTGAGCCCGGTTGAGCCCAGGGGTCAGGACAGCCCCTCGGGCCGCCCGCCAGGGGGCGCCGCGGGTGTGGCGGGGAGCTGTGGGGCTGGCTGCAGAGCCGGGCGGTCCGCGCTGTCCCTACGGGGCGGGGGCGGTGCACAGACCCCGCGGCGTCCCAGTCACCGCCCGTCCGCGCCCAAAGCGAGGTCCGGCTGCACGTTCTGGGCGCAGACCCCTGTCGGCCCCATTGCCGCGATGGGGAAACTGAGGTCGGAGACGGTGCGGCCAGCGCCGGGGCCCGAGGGACCTCTTGGACCCGGGTCTGGCTCGGAAGCCGCGTCTGGCAGCAGGGGACGGGCTGGGCGGGCGGGAGGCGGGTGGGGCGCGCGCGGTGACAGCAGCGCCCGGGAATGCGCGCTGGGAGGGTCTCTCCGCCCCCCGGCCGGCCCGCCGCGCTTCCCCGCGAGAGGGGCCCTGGCTGGGGCGCCCCGGGACCGCGGGAGCCCGGCGTGGAGGGTCCCCAGCACTGCGCAGGCGGCCGCGGGGGCCGGGAAGGGGAGAAGACCCCGCGGGGCGCAATCCCGGCGTCGGCAGGGAGGGGGCAGCGCCCGGCCTCCGGACCCAGGGCTAGGCGACCTCGGTTCGGCACATTCTCGGGCCCTGATCGCGGAGCCCAGAATAGCAGTCCCGGGTGGGGGGTGGGAGCGGTCAGTCTGGGCTTTCCAAGGTCACCCCACCCTGGCGCCAGGACACCAGGCCGCGGCTCTGCGGGACCGGGGCTCGCTCGGGCAGTCAGTCCCCTGCCGCAGATCCGCGTCCAGGCGCGCGCTGGCCGCGCGGGGGCGCACGGAGCCGCCACCCCTCCCGACCCCGGCCTGGGCGCGCCCCGGGAGGCCCCGGTGGGAGGGGCCGCCGGAGTTCCCCGACCCGCACCTCGGGCCCCGCCGCTTCCGCTCGCCCTGGGGCCGCCCGGGAAACCTGGACACGCCGCTTGGGTTCTATGCAGCCGGTAAGTCCCTCTTCCTATCCTCCCACTATCCGGCCCAACGCCAGCAATGAGGTCTACTCCTCCCCTTCCCTGGCCCCGTGGGACTAGGGGGACCGGGTTGTGAGGGCAATAATCCACGGGTACGCATGAGCTCTGTGGTCCCTTATTCTCAGGGAAACTGAGGCCCACAGTGATCTTGCCCACAGATCACTATGCCAGTAGTGAGCAGCCAAAACAGCCCGAGAGGAACCTTGGGAATGGGGGTCAGAGAGGGGGAAGGTTGTCTCCGTGGCCCCCATTTTCCATCACCTAGACCCCACCCCGGGGCTCGAGTCCAGTGGGGTGTGGTCAGGAGGTCAAGCCCCTGACCCCAGCTTAGCTCTAAGGTCCAGGCAGCCTGAGCCAGAGAGGGCAAGAGTCAGCTGCTACTCGGCCGGCCCAGAGGGCGCTCAGGCCCTGGCCTGGCTGCAGCTGCCCCAGGTTCTCACCTCTGCAGTCACCTCAGGGTCCCGAGGCCCAGGGTCAGCACCAGGGGACTGGGGACTGAGGGCCTGGAGGTGACCTTCCCATCTGGGAGCTGAGGCTCACCTGTCTGGCCTCCCTCCTCGGTGCAGGCCATGATCTCCAGGGGAGTGGGCAGCAAGAGGCTCCTTCCCCATGGGAGAGATGGCCCTGGGCCAGGTCCTGATCCCTGTCCCTGCCCCAGCCAGCAGGAGGTCCTCGCTGCTGCTGGGTCTAGGAGCTGGGAGCCGGGGGACCCTGAGCCTGGACAGGGCTCCTGACCAGCCCCACCCCGCACCCTTTGCAGGGTCTCACAGAATCATGGACTGAATCCAGGTGGTCCCCACGGCACAGATGGGGAAGCTGAGGCCTGGGGCAGCGGAGTGGCGGGTCCCTGGCCACACAGGAAGGTAGAAGCAATGATGAGGTGGAAAGTGGGGGGTGCCCCAGCCCAGGAGCCATTGTGCACTATCCTTGGAATGACCCCTTCACTCACCAAACATTAATTAGGCACCTACTGTGTGCCTTATAATACACATTCAGTAACAATAGCAGATAAAGTTTTGAGTACCCACCTCTGGACCCTACTTTATCCAACCAATCCCTCAAAACCCTATTATCTCCTCATTTTTTTCAGAGACAAAAAGGGGGCTCAGAGAGGTTTGATTACTGTATGAGATCACACAGCCAGCCAAGGCAGAGATGGGGTTCAGCGTCGGTTTAGCTGGCACCCGCTGCATAGGCACCCTCTGCCCCCCGAGACCCCGACCCTTCCAGAGCCTTCTGCTCTTGCTGTGGACCCTCCTGAACTGTGTTTTAGGGAGCAGCGCTCAGGTAAGGGGCGGGCAGTAGAGTCCAGGGCCGGACAGGAATGGGGACATGGCCAGCGGCGTGGGTTCACCAATTCTCCTCCAGGCTGACCGGCTTCTCTCTCCCCAAGTAGGGTCCGGGGGAGTGGACGCCCTGGGGGTCCTGGAGCCACTGCTCCAGCTCCTGTGGGCGGGGCGTCTCAGTGCGCAGCAGGCGCTGCATCCGGTGAGCGGGAGCCACTGGCTGGCAGTGCCGGGTCCCTGGCCCGCCTCTCCTGCCCGCTGGCCCAGCCCCTGCGCCCAGCCCCTGGCCGCGCCCAGGACCTGCCCACGCATGCTGTGCCCTTTAATCCTGCTGATCCCGCTGGAATGCGGGTGGGGTTGCTGGGGGCGAAGGGTGCACCGGCCTGGCCGGGGTGGGTCCCTGGGCTCTGACCACACGCAGGCCCGTCCGCAGGCTTCCCGGGGAGGAACCGTGCTGGGAGAGCAGCCATGAGTACCGCGTTTGCCAGTTGCCGGTGAGTTCGGAACTGCCCAGAAGCCCTCTTGCTTCTCAGACAGCCCTGCTACTGGGCTCCCCTGGGGGCTGACCCCTATCTTTGCTCCCAGGACTGTCCCCCAGGGGCTGTGCCATTCCGAGACCTACAGTGTGCCCTCTACAATGGCCACCCTGTCCTGGGCACCCAGAAAACCTATCAGTGGATCCCTTTCCACGGCGGTGAGTAGCCTGGCCTCCTGTGGTTAGGGGTGGTCCAGAGTGAACGACTCATTGCTGACAGCCAGAGAGGAACTTGAAGAAGGGTTGCACAGAGAAGGGGCATTAGTGTTGGGGCTTTGAGGACTACGTAGGAGTTGGCAAAGTGAAGTGTGAAGCAGCACCAGAGAGCAGATCCGTTCTGCACAGGGTCAAGTGCCAGATCTGCAGAGGCTGGCCGTACTCACACTCATCGCAGTCACAGGAAATGTTGCAGCATCGAGCTGAAAATAGTGGGTTATATAACTGTGCCCAGGGCAGCACGCCTCCAGACTCAAGGGAGACAGGCAGCCTCAGCCTCCACAGTGGCAGGACACAGGAAGGCCTAGGAGGGAGAAGGTGCAGCCTCACGGGCTGATTTTCTTTCTCTTCTCCCTGCTCCCCCCGACCGAGAGCTGGAGGACCCTGCCATGTTCCCACGCACACAGTGCCCTACCCCAGCCAGGTCGAAATCCGTTGCAGGCAGGGTCTGCCAGCCTGGCTCAGACGGGTGAGAGGGAGAGGGAGCCTGGGCAGGGATCGGACTGTGTGTGTGTTGGTACCATGGATTGGACCCAGGGGCACTTAACCACCAAGCCACATCCCCAGCCCTTTTATATACATATTTCGTTTAGAGACAGGGTCTCGCTGAGTTGCTTAGCACCTCACTAAATTGCTGAGGCTGCTTTGAACTCACAATCCTCCTGCCCCAGCCTCCTGAGCCTCTGGGATGACAGGTGTGCACCCCCGCTCCCGGCAGGGTTCTGTGTTTGTGGGTGTGATGGGACAGCCCGTTTCACCATGCTGTTAGGCAGATGGGGAAACTGAGGCCAGGAGTGCAGGGACACACCCAGGCTACACGTGACTTAGTACTGGACAGACACTTAATTGGTCACCTGCTGGATGCGGGGCCCCAGTGCTGACTGAGTTCTGCCCGGTGCTGTATCTCAGAACCCACAAGTGTCTGGACGCAGTAGGTGCTCAGTGAGTGCTTGTGGAAGGAAGGAAGGAAGGTACTGATGGACAGTACAAATGGACCCCTGATGTTGAGGCCACTCATGAATCAGTGCACCCCGGGGGAGCCCCAGGTGGCCTTTGGTCCAGTCCAGGCTCTGCTGCAGCTTCCTATGTGGCTTTGGCTGAATCTCTGGTCCTCATCTGCCCATATGTTTGCCGGATGGAGCTCGGGTCAGGGGGACTGGAAGTCCGATGGAGGTCACTGTCCCACTCACTTCTGCCCCCAGCACCCAACCAGTGCGATCTCAACTGCCTGGCGGAGGGACACGCCTTCTATCACAGCTTTGGCCGTGTCCTGGACGGCACCCCCTGCAGCCCAGGTGCGCAAGGCCTCTGCGTGGCTGGCCGCTGCCTGGTAAGGATTCGCTTGGCCCCGCCCACCTCCTCTCAGCCCCACCCCCGCCTCCTGTATCAGGTCCCAGGCTCCGCCCTTTTGCCCCAAGGCCCCGCCCCGGGCCCTGTCCGGGCTGCCTCAGGCCCGTCCCTCACCAGGCTCCACCCCAGGCTCCACCCCGCCTTCCCGCTCGGCCCCGCCCCTCAGCCCCGCCCCTCCCCGGTGACGGCTCCCCTCCGCACCCCGCAGAGCGCCGGCTGTGATGGGGTGCTGGGCTCCGGAGCCCTCGAGGACCGCTGCGGCCGCTGTGGCGGCGCCAACGACTCTTGCCTCTTCGTGCAGCGCGTGTTCCGTGACGCTGGTGACCGCACTCCCCGTCCTCCCGGTGCCCTGGCGGGCGTGGGCCCTTTAAGGCGTCGTGCGGTCCCGCTCCTATTGGGCCGTCTGTGGCCCAGCCCCTCTGGCCCGTCATCCTGATTGGCCGGAGGCAGACTGTCCCACCCTCTCGGAGCACTGGGGGCTCTAACCCCGCCCCCGCCCCCGCCCCCGACTGCGCTCTCCGGGTACCGCGGGGCCGGCCGCGCTCGCGCCGCGCTCCCTTAACCCTCGAGTCGCCGCGCACCGCACCCACCCCGCACCCCTACCCTCCCGCCCAGGTGCCTTCGCCGGGTACTGGAACGTGACCCTGATCCCCGAGGGCGCCAGACACATCCGCGTGGCGCACCGGAGTCGCAACCACCTGGGTACCGCAGGGCCCGAGAGGGGACGGGGTCGCGGAGACGGTGGGGCCGGACCCCGGGAGCCTGGCCGACTCTTTCCTTGCAGCGCTGATGGGGGTCGACGGGCACTACGTGCTCAACGGGAACTGGGAGGTCAGTCCGCCCGGGACCTACGAGGCTGCGGGCACCCGCGTGGTCTACGCCCGCGCCGCAGCGCCGCAGGAGACACTGCACGCAGCAGGGCCCACCTCCCAAGACCTGCTCTTGCAGGTGCGCGCAGGGCGGAGCGGGAGGCTGGCTCTCAGGAGGAGCCTGGGCTACGGGGCCTAAGGGCAGCTCCCTGCCCTGCGTGCCCCACTCCAGATCCTCCTGCAGGAGCCCAACCCCGGCATCCAGTTTGAGTTCTGGCTCCCTCGAGAGCGCTACGGGCCCTTCCAGGTGCAGACGCAGGCCCTGGGCTGGCCCGTGCGGCAGCCACAGCCGCGGGAGGTGGAGGCTCGGGCCCCCATTGCTCCCCCACCTCTGATGCCCACCCTGGCCCCAGGTGAGGTGGGGCGGGCAGGGTGGGGCAGGCAAGGGGTGTGGCCTGTGCCCCTCACAGCCCCGCCCCCCACAGACCCCTGCCCACCCTGCCCTGACACCCGTGGTCGTGCCCACCGGCTGCTCCACTATTGCGGCAGCGACTTTGGTGAGAACCCTACCCCGACGCTCACCGGGCCCCAGTTAACCTGACCTGACCCATTCCTCCCTGCTGACCTCTGACCCTGCCCTGCCTACCCTTGATGGCTTCTTCTGACCCTGATTTTTTTTAGATTATTTTTTAGTTGTCGGTGGACGCGTACCTTTATTTTGTTTTTATGTGGTGCTGAGGATTGGACCCAGTGGCTCACACGTGCTAGGCGAGCGCTCTGCCACCCAGCCCAGCCCAGCCCCAGCCCCTTCTGACCCTAATTTGACTCCTTGGTGTGATCACTAACTCTTCATGGATCCCTGACCTGCCTGGACCCCAGGCCCCAGGGCTCTCTGAGGCCCCACCTGACCCTCAGCCCCCTCTTCCGGCAATGGCCTGTGGATGGGTGTGGGGGGTGGACGTCCAGCTGACTCTCAACCCACCCTGCACACAGTGTTCCAGGCCCGTGTGGTGGGCCGCCACCGCCAGGCCCAGGAGACCCGCTATGAGGTGCACATACAGCTCATTTACAAGAGCCGCTGGCCACTGCGGACTCGAGAGTATGTGTGGGCGCCTGCCCACTGCCCCTGCCCACCACTGGCCTCCCAGCAGGAGTACCTGATGGCTATCCGGCGTCTCATCAGCCCTGATGGCACACAGGACAGGCTGCTGCTGCCCCATGCTGGCTACGCCCGGCCCTGGAGCCCTGCTGAGGACAGCCGCATCCGGCTGGCTGCCCGGCGCTGTCCTGTCTGAGCCTTGGAGGAGACCTACACGACTGACAGCAAGAAGGACCCCATGAGGAAGCTCAAACTCAGCCTGTTTCCCCTCTTACCTTGGCTTCAAGGGAGCTCAGAAATACCTACCACTTGCAGCGGTGTGATTCCCTGTCACAAATAGACAACCTTGTGTGAAGTCAGATCCAGTCATAAGCAGGCAGGCACTAGGGAGGACGAAACGAGACTGAGAAGACTCATTTCCCCCTCTCACCTTGTCTTCCAGGAAGCTCATAGCTATTTTACACTCAGAAATTTTGTGCTTGTTTTCATCTTCCTGGCTTCACACTAGCTTAGAGACAGTCACCAACAAACGTGTCACAGAGGATAACAGGCATAACATGACACTGTAATGTATCCATTTCCCTGCTGAGTACCAGGAAGCGCCTCCCTGTTTAACTCCCTAACGCCTGTGCTCACATCTCTCTCAGCCATTCACATACACGTGCTTCTGTATTCAAAGACACAATCACAAGCCTGCATGCCCCTTAGAAGACATGCCTAACCAGGCACCATAATCTACTGATTTCCCTTTTGGCCTGGGTTTCCTCCAGTCAACAGACTAGTGTCCACCTTTTTTAAAAAAAGTTTCATTTTGACACAGGCTGCTGGCCTTGAGCTTGCCATCTTTCTGCCTCAGCCCCTGGAGTCGTGGGGATTACAGGTGTGCCTTACTGTGCCCCACTCAACCCCTTTCTTATTCTTATTTATTAATTTTTATAAACACTTAAAAAAAAAAAAACAAGACTCTCCGGTGCACATATTCTGCCACAGGAACTCAGGGACGCCTTGGAAGAATCTCAGCTTGTGCTGACAGGGTCACACCCTCCTCCCTGTCCTGTGCCCCAGCCTTTGGGGCAAGGACAGGACATACACAAGGAGGGAAGGAGGGAGGCAGGGGACAAAGGGGCTGTGACCGGCCCTGAGCCTGTGGAGGCCTGAGCTCTCTCTGGGGGGGAGGGACAGGTCAGAGCCCCTGCCCCTGTGTTCTTGTAGCTTCTCCAACCAGGGGCCATGCCCAGGCATGTATGGGCAGGTGTCTGTGGGGTCACATGGTCACTCAGCAGGCCCTCCTCTTGGGGTGTGCCTGAGAGACAGTCCCACTGTCTCACCCTGATGGAAGCCCCCAGGGGGGACACTGGGGGCCTGGGGTGAGGAATGGTCCGCTCTCCCCTGCCGCACAAGAGCCCCTTCCAAGCCGCTGCAGCAGGGCAGGGGAGGGGAGGGCAGGGTGCTGGACTCAGCCCTGACCTCATGGGCGACCTCCGGAGGCCCTGCCCCTCTGTGGATACCCTGTAAACCCCTCCTGGACCTGGCCACGGGAGCCGCATTCTCCAGGAGTCCTTCCCCAGTCCCTCCGTTTGTTCATGCATTCCTGCATTATTTATTGAGCACCTACTGTATTCCAGGACCCAACAGTCCCTGGACAGGCCCAGGCCGGGGAGCAGTGGCTTTACTGCCTATGGCCTTCAGTGATGGCGGGCAGCCCAGGGTCCGCACTGCCCCGAGAGTACAGGGGTTCGGGAGGAGCTGCGGCCTGGCTGCAGGATGAGGCCCACTCCCCGCGGTGCCCTGCGACACCCATCTGCCTGGTGCCTCCCAGCGGGTCTCCGCTGGCCGCCCAGACCCAGGCGGTCCTCGGTCCTCCGTCCGGCTTCGTTGGGGGTCCGGGAGGGGCGGAGATCGGTGGGACGGGGCGGGGCCTGTGGCCCAGCGGGAGAGCGCTGCACAGCCAGTGGGCGGCTCCAACACCGCGACCAGGTCCGCAGGGTGACCCGGGGCTGAATGAGGTGGAGGAGCTGCCACCAGGGCCGGGTAGCCACTGGGCTGCAGCTGCGCTTCCGACTAGGAGGCTTACAGGGGTGTCCCCAACACCCGGCAGTTTCCCCGACACCTCTCTCAATTCGCTGTAAGCTTTAAAACAAACCATTGGATAAACAGATGAAGACATTTTAATCCCAAAGGAAATGGAAAAGGAGCAGAAGAGCTCCCACAGAAACCCAGCAAAACCGCGCGCTGTGGCTGGTTTACAGGGTCAAGGACTGAACCACAAGGGCCGGGCCAGGAGCCCGCCTGCCGTCACCGGGCCAGCCCGACTCCCCCTGGGGAGAGAGCGCAGAGCCCACCGGGGACCACAGACATCACACAGAGGGGAACCTGCCCAGAAGCCCGGCTCATGGCACCAGGACCGGGAGTCACTGCCCACCTGGAGGTGACAGCTGCAGTTGTACCGTGCACCCTGTGTGCAGCCTGCGCCCTGAAGCGGCCGAGACCAAGGACAGCAGTTTTTCTGCCGGGTCCAGCAGAGGGGCCCTGGGCACTTGTGTTGCTGCTGTTGTTCTCTACAGACAGCACAACCTGTAGCCTGCATGGGGCTGGTCACTCCCCAAACCCTGGCCTCCTGTCCCGGAGCACTGCAGTGCCCTCCCAGCACGGTGGCCGGCCCAGTCACAGACCACCCATGGCCTGAAGGTCAGAGGTGGGGCCCCAGGACGCCCACTTGCTGCAGGGAGGGAGGGATAGTTGGTATCTTTGCTGTAAAAAAGAATTTGGTGGCAGAGCATGGTGGCCACACCTGGGATCCAGCCATTCACCTAGGCTTCCAGCTACTCTGAACGCTGAGGCAGGAGGATGGCAGTTCAAGGCCAGCCCCAGCAACTTAGTGAGACCCGGGCTGGGCTGGGGCTGGGCTGGGCTGGGCTGGGGCAGAGCGCTTGCCCAGCACGTGCGAGGCCCTGGGTTGGGTCCTCAGCAGCACCTAAGATAAATGAAATCAAGGTGTTGTGTCCACCTGCAGCTACAAACTTGAAACAAGACAAGGACACAACTAAGGACACCAATTAATTAAAAAGGGGAGGCTGGGCTTGGTGGTGAGCACCTGGGTCAGTCTCTACACTGACAATACGTAAGTAGACCCAGACATGGACCATCCATGAAGATGGAGATGGACACTGGAGCCACGTGGCTGCAAGCCAGGGACGCCTGGAGCCCCAGAGCTCAGGATCCTGCTTGGAGCCTCGGGAGGGACACCCTGAGCACAGCTGGACCTCCAAAGCTGGCCTCCAGGATGAGGGGATGGTAAATGCCCCTTGTGGTCATCGTGGCCAAAGAAGACTCAGACGCAACAGCCCCTGACAGGTGTGCGCCCAAAGGAAACAAGCCCTCAGTCCACCAAAGGACATTTCTAGAACATTCCTGGTAGCGTGGTCACAGTGGCCAAAAGTGAGGCGTGACTCGGGTGACCCTCAAAGTGGCCCAGGATGAATGGACATGGCTGGACTAGAGCAGGGACATGAAAAGCCCAGGGCAACTGGCCGTCTCCTCACTGTGTCGAGTGCCAGGGGTGCTGCTGGGGAACCACAGAGGAGGACAGGGACGGCTTTGGGCTCCGGGGAACGTGGTCTGCAGGGATGGAGGGAGAGGCGAGACCTGGGGGCTGGTCCCACGGGGGTGGCCGGTGGCACCCCATGTTGAATTAGACAGTGAAGCTCACCACTTCCACCTAGAGGGAAGGCCACCTCCTCGCCACCTGTGTGCCTGCCCAGGTGGACACACCTGGCCATCCTCTGAGGGGCAGAGCTAGGGCCCTTTCGAGGCCTGGGCTGAGGGGTGCCAAGGGGCTCAGCTCCTGTCCTCCCAAGTGGTGCCACACCTCATCTGGAAACCCCCCCAGCCACAGATGAGTACACCTGTGGTCCTGTCCCCAGTGCCCACGTGGACGAGGGTCAACTCACGACTGCCCTGGACCCTCCATCCTGGTGAACCCTGCCTCCCCTGAGAAGCCTAGAGTCCACTCCAGGGCACCCGTCCAGCCACAGGGCTCCTTGCTGCTGGCCGCATGCCAGGCTGGTCCTGCTGCAGGGCCTGGGACGCTCTGCAGTGTCCGCAGGTCTCCCGTCCACTCCGGGGCTGCCGTGGGCCTTTCTGGCTGAGCGCCCACCTAACCGCCTCACACAGCCGCTGCCCCACCCTTCCCTGCTGTCTTCTCCCCGTGACGCGCTTGTCACCTTGGTCCCCTGGCCAAATTCGCAGGCGCAGGAACATTTCTTTGGGTCTTTGCTGGCCCCTGGGCTCCTGGGACAGGGCCGAGTTCAGAAGGTGCTCCTCAGGTGTGTTGAGGAGATGAATGCCCGGCCACCGTCCCCACCAAGCCCGGCCACCGTCCCCACCAAGCCCCCACTGAATGCGCAGACAGAGGACGTGCGGCTGTTGGTTGGCGGCTCAAAGTCGCCCTGTTCTCTGGAAAACTGTCTGGGTGTGTGGGGCCGCCAGAGCCCTAGCCGGTCACATGGTAAGGACTGCAGGAGTCCGCTGCTGTGCTGGACAGGCAGCAGGGTCCCCGGGACACATGGCCCACCGAGCACGGCAGTCACAGCCTGGAGCACGGTAAGGTCGGGTGGGCCTGCAGCCCTGCTTCCACCTGCGGGCGAGCACCGAGCTGGCCACCGCCCTGTGGCCAGGAGGGTCCCCGGGGGAGGCGGGCGTCCCCCAGGGCACCAGTGTCACCCTCGCTGTTCTGCGCTCAGCTTTCTGCAACACGTCTGTCCCCTGCCTGCCGCTGCCTGGGCCTGGGCCTGTGATCTGGCCTGTCCCCCCAGCGACCCAGGGGCCCGGAGGCTGGGGTGCGAGTTCAGAGTGGTCAGGTGCCCTGGGACTTCTTCTTGTCCCCAGAACTCAGACACCAACAAGACAGCCCTGGCCAGGGCCCACTGATGTCCTCACACTGCCCTTGAGTGCCAGGCCCTGGGCTCCCTGCTGGGGGCTTCGCCCTCTCCCTGGCCCTGCACAACTGCAGTGGGCGGTGGCTGGAGTTCACGCCCCCCACCCAGCCCACAGCCCAGGTGGTCATGCCCAGCACTCGGGCCACCTGGGCAGGAGAGTCCCAGGTGTGCACTCAGCAGCTGCTCCCCTCCCCTGCCCTCCGGTCCTCACTGTGTGGGCGTCTCCTGGCGTCCCCTTCCCACATCTCTTGGGGGACCGCGGCCAGGCCAGGGGCATGCCCGCCGCTTCTTTGCTCTGGAGGAATCTTGTTTTGTTTTTAAATGAAGAGTGGGCACGTGGATGCAGCTGACCGGGCTTGCACCTTCCTGGTGGGGCCCTGGCTGTCCTGCCACCTGCGCCCGGGGAAGGGCTGCTCTGCACAGTGGGCACTCGCGCCCGGCACCCGGCGCAGCAGACACTCGCGAGCTGGGGCCGGAACTTTATTGGGCACGTCCAGCTGGTGCCTAGTAGGCCAGGCGTTTCAGGAGCCAACAGGGCCGGCGGCAGGGCAGCTGGTGTCGGCAGTGAGGCCAGCTGTAGGTGATCTCGGTGGTGGACTCTGAGGAGCACTCCAGCGAGGACTCGGAGTGGGAAGGGACGGGCGACCTGGGTCCCGAGGTGCTGGTGGCGGCCTCCTTCTGCTGCCGGAAGCTGCCCTTGGAGGCTGTGTTCCGGGGCCCACTGGGCAGCTTGCTGGGGGGCTGCGAGGGGGTGGTGGCGCTACTAGGAGACTGGCCAAGGGACGGGTCCTGGTTGGAGGTGGTGCTGGGGCCCCACCCGGTCCCTGAGGACCCCGGGGCCTGTGGGGAGGGCACCGGGGCCGAGTTGGAGAAGCCAGTGCGCGGCTGGGGCTGAATCTGTGTCTTTCTGGCCACCTGGGAGCCACTGGTAGAGCCAGAGACTGCCTGGCCCTGGGACATGGAGCTGGGGGTGGTCAGCGAGTGAGACTCTGTGGAGGCAGCAGAGAGGGGGCTCCCGGTGGGCCGGATGGGACTTGAGTGCCCCGCGCGAGGCTCTGCCTGGGAATCTGTGGAGGGCTCCGTGGGGTGGTGGGTGCCTGCTGTGGAGTGGTAGGTGCCTGATGTTGGGTGCTGGGTGCCCGCTGTGGAGTAGTAGGTTCTTGCTGTGGGGTGCTGGGCGCCTGATGTGGGGTGGTAGGTGCCTGCTGTGGAGTGCAGGGTGCCTGATGTGGGGTGCTGGGTTCCTGATGTGGAGTGGTGGATGCCTGATGTGGGGTGCTGGGTGCCTGAATTGGGGTGCTGGGTGCCTGGTGTGGGGAGCTGGGTGCCTGGTGTGGGGAGCTGGGTGCCTGGTGTGCGCCCCTTCCTGCTGGACTGGTCCGTGCCAGAGCTGGAGGGCGGCTTCACTTGTCCTTCAGCTGCGGGCTCTGGCTTGCCTTGGCTGTGGAGAGGGCAGGGAGGGGCAGTTGGGTGATTCCATCCACCACCCCCAGGGCTCTGCCCAGCTGCTGGGAGCAGGACTTAGGCCGTTAGTGATGGAGTCAGCTCCTTCAGGGGCCAGGTGGTCACCCGGGCAGTCGGGCACACACATCCACCCTGTGCCCGCTGACTCCCGTGTGGGCACAGGGACAGGTGAGGACCCATGTCCTACGCACAGCGCCTGCTCACAGCACACTGGCACACAGGGTGCGCACACTCACACGCAGGCACACGTGAGTCCAATGTACATGAGTGCCACCGGCATGCACCGGCCTTGCCCGCCCCGGGTACCTACGGGGGGCTTCCAGGGCCACCGGAGGCTCCGCTGCCGGCACTGGGGTGACGTGCGCCCGGCCGCGGGCCAGGGCCTGAAGCACTGGTTCCCGAGAGCATGCAAGAGAGAGGTGTGTGAGGGGAGCCCCAGAGGCGTGGTGGGGACCCCAGAGAGTGGCCGAGGCCCAGGGGAGGCAGGCTGGGAGGCAGCAGGCCGGCAAGCCGGCGGAGACCCCGGCCCCAGCACCTACCGTCCCTGGCTATTCCGCCTGCCGCGTCCAGGACTCGGCGGCTGAGTTGGCTCACGGCGCTGTCCACGGCCGCGTGGTGTTTTAGGAACACTGGACGCACCACGCGATGATACAGGACTAGAGCCCCGTTCCAGGGCCCCGGCGTCATGCAGAACAACAGGAAGGCGCACTGCAGGGCACAGCCGTCACACTGGGGCCTGTCTCTCAGTGTCCCTGCCAGACACCCACCTGGGCAGGAACTGGGCCTCCACCCTCAGACAGCCCCTGGGACGGTCCATGTCCCTGTCCAGCCTGGAGGCAGGCCCCAGACCCCACACACCCTGGACTCTTGGCTGCCCCCTCTTCCCCAGGGTGGGTGACCTGCTTGTCCTGGGGTCCCCAGGAGGGGCCGGCCCCCCACCTTGCCCGCGTAGTAGAAAGGGAACCAAAACAGGAGTAGGTCGCTGAAAAACTCCATCAGCCCGAACACAGCGTACACCACCCAGTAGGTGAGCCACACGGTATCGTCGTCTCTGCTTGGGCTCTCGATGGCTTTGACTCTGCGGGAGGCGCAGGAGGCTCAGAGGCCACGTGCACCCCCAGGCTCCCCTCCCACGGGGCAGCCAGGGCACTCACGAAGCATATGCAGGGTATACAAATCCGATCAGGTTGCACAGTAGAGATGCCCCGTAGCCGAACAGAAGGTACAAGCTTAGCAGAATGACGACTCCTACAGGAGACAGGGACCATCCAGTAGCACCCGGAGGCCAGCACCTCCTGCCAGAGCCCCAGCAATGCCTCCAGGATGCCCGAGCCGCCACTGGGGCGCTCAGCCCCAGGGCCACTAGCCCTGAGGTGTCTGTGTGCAGATGGTGGGCATGTCCTTCTTCCTCATGGGCTGTGAGCACCCCAAGGGCAGGCAGGGACCTGGGCTCTGAACCAGGGCTCAGTTGTGCAGTGAGCACAAAGCAGTTGCCCAGAGAGCATTTGTTGAGTGAATAAGTGACCATCTGCAATTATAAGAACTTCATTCCAGGTCCCGTGGGAGGTGCTGGGAATAGGAAGGCAGTGCTTGAATCTGAGTGATGCAAAAAAATGTGAAAGTAAGACCCTGTGTCACCAGGACTTGATCCCTGGGGAGCTGGGAGAGCTGAGTGGCTATGACCTTTGTAAAGGCTCCGCCCTGCTGATGCGGGCACAGTCCGTTCACTGGAGTGGCTGTCCTGGGCCCTGCACAGTGCTGAGCAGCACCTCTGGCCTCCACTCACTCCAGGCCAGGAGCTTCCAGTGGGACAACCACAAATGTCCCCAGACAAGGCTAAATATGTATGCATGGGGCAGTGTCGGCCCCTCTGAGAACCCAGGTCTTCCCAGAGCTGGAGGAGCCTGTTCCTTTCCCTGCCACCTGCGGCAAGCCTTTCCTGTGGAGTCTCACTCCCACCTAGGTGGCTGTGGGTCAGGGGACCCTTACTTCCTACACCTTCTGGCCACTAGAACATACTCCCAGCAATGGAGGTTCAAAGACAAATGAGGGAGGGGGACAGGAGCTCAGCCACAAAAGAGTGATGACTGTGGCGTCTGCCAAGCGCCCACTGTGCCAGCCTCAGGGCCTCCTCTGCCTTATCTCATTCGGCTCTGAGGCCAGGGGAGCAGCTTCCCAAGCGCACACAAGGAACCTTGGAGCCCCTGGACAGCTTCCCCCCTCCTTCCCTGAGGTTGTTATCGGCAGAAAGAGATAGAGGCCACTTCTGGACCAAAGGGCAGAGCGCCAGATCACCCCACCCTTTCCTCCACCTGCATTAGCCTCTGTCCTCCAGGTCCCGAAGTCAGAGCAGTCAGACAGGGACCCAGGTGGCCCCAAAAGGCCATGTGACCTCTAGGTCACTGCCTCCTCTGAGTTGTCTTATCTGTCACCTGGGGGCATGGAATTTGGCAATCTGGGGTCGGTGAGGCTCAATGTTCCCTATATCTAGGTGAGGTTCAAGGGGGATAGGACTCCTTCCTTGGGTTTGCTAGTGGGGAAGGAGGGGCTCTTGCTCCTAAATCCCTTTAAACCTGCAGTCTCAGCAATGAAAGGATGACCTTGGACATCAGGGTTGTGGGGGGAAGGGACCCAGAGATCAACAGATGGGGTTGGGGCAGGGAGGGGGGCCATGCTCCAGACAGAGGCAGCCTCCCCCAGTCCCTGCCTCCCTGTGCCTGAGTTTTCTCCCTGAAGATACCCAGCCCCCTCCCCTCAAGTGCTCTATGACCTACATTCCCCACCCACTGGGACAAGGCCTGTGGAAAGCCAGGGCAGAGGCCGGGACCTGCACTGGGCAGGCACAGCACACACGTGCCACCTGGCTGAATTGCTGGGGTGTGGGGCTGGGCACCTGCGGGCATCCAGGGTCTGGACAAGGATTTCAGACCCTCCTTGAGCTGCCTGCATGGGAATCCCCCAGCTGGTGGGAAAATGGGAGGAAGGTGGTCTCCCAGAATCTGCCCACAAAAGGTGATCAAAGAATGTGGCACAGCCCTCCCTGCGGAGGCCTCAAGACCCAGACAAGTGTCCTTGTGGTCCAGGGGGAGGGTCTCCTGGAAAAGGCAGTGGACCTCTGAGTACTACAAAAGGGGGAGAAGGGCACTTGAGCACTGACCATAGACCTACTGCACAGGTTTGAAAAGGGGCAATGGAAATGGAATGGAGCTACAGTCGTGTGGGCGGCTTCTTCCTGCCCAGGGAACCAACACAGCTCTCCACAACCCAACTCAACACATAATAAGGACACTAGAGTAAGTCAGGAACGGGGGTACAGGAAGAGGGCTCCAGGAGGAGGACCTGGGCTTCCCCTCGGACAAACGGGAAAATGTCTGTACCCACTGCCAGGTTCGGGTCCACTCAGGAAGGGGTTGGGGCAGACACACAGGTCGTTGGCATCAAGACTGCCCCCACACCTAGTTAGGCAACTGGAAGAACTGGACTCAGGCTGGCAAGTGCCCAAGGCCCCGACGGAAGGGGCAAAGAACTGTTGGGACCACGGCTACAGGGGAGCCCGGCAGGAGCCGAGAGTTGCCCTCACTCAGGTCGCCGGGCGGGCACAAGGCAGGGGCTGCAGGCAGACCCTCCAGATCCCTATCCTAGATCCTCTCCCTCCCCAGGATCTGGGTCTCTATGCTGAGCAGCAGGACGCGCGCCTCTCCCGGACCGGACCCCGCAGCCGGGGCCAGTCGGAGAAGCGTCAGGTCTCGGTGCCCAGCGCTTCAGTGTGCCCGTCAGTGCAATGGGGCAAGCGCCCCGACGGCTCACCCGCGGCCAGATACCGCTTCTCGACACCGGTCTTGGCTTCGAGCGCTCCGAGCGCTTCGGTGACAAAGTTCTTCTGTTCCAGAAAGCGCTCGAAGCGCTGGCGCAGGCCGTCCATGGCACCGGCGGGCCCGGGGCTGGCAGCTCGAGCTGGAGCTTGCCTGCTGCCCCACGCACCGGCCCCGCCGAGCGCGAGCAGCCTTGCCCCCGCTAGGGCTGCCCGGCTCCGCCCCCAGGCTGCTGGTTTCCTCCCCTGTTCCGGGCTCCGCCCCTGTTCCCCCGCTCCGGCCAATGGGAGGGCAGGGCGGACAAAGGAGGAGGGGCCTGCCCCCTCTCCCCCGCCGCATTGCCCTCTGGCCGGAGGCGGGCGGAGTGGAAAGGAGGCGGCCGCGAGGGGGGCGGGGCGCGGAGACCGAGGGCGCTGATTGGCCGAGCAGGAGTGGGACGTAACTGGTTGGAAGGTGTGGCGTCAGGGCCGGGGATTATTGGCTGCATCGCTGAGGAGGGTGGAGCTAAGAGAGGAGAGGAGCGTGCTGATTAGGGCAGCGCGGGTGTTAGGGCCAGAGACAGGGGCGGGGCTGAGCAGAGGGGAGGCGGGGTAAGCTCGGGATAGGGCGGGGTTAAGAGAGGAGGCGGGACTTACCCAGAGAAACACTTCTGGTTGGAGAGGACAGGAGACGGAGCTGATTTTCGAGAAAGGGGTGTGAAGAAAGTGGGTGGGGCCAAATAAAGGCAGCTTCCCCTTCCCCTATGCAACAATGAACCTGCTCCTGTGGGCCGGAGTTGGGTCCGCGTACAAATGAGGAAACGGAGGCTCCAGAGGGCTTAGGTCTGTGGACACGCGTACCCTCCTACGGCTTCGGTCGGGCCTTCCCGCCCCACTTGGGGGAACCGCAAGGCCCCCTGGGAGTTGAAGCCCTCGGGTTGCTATGGCGCCGGCAGTCCGGCGGGCGCCGGGCCGACTAGGCGGTTTGGCCAGAGGGAGGGGCTTTCCGGAGGCCCCGCCCCCGGTCCCGCCCCCGCCATGCGGCCAGCCCCGACTGCGCTCTGTCTGCGCCTGTCCTTGGCCCTTGCCCTGAGCCTGGGCTTCGTCCGCCCCCTGGCTGTGGCCTGGGCCACGGCCCCGGCCCCCATCTACGTCGGCAGCTGGGCCGTGCGGGTGACACAGGGTTACCAGGAGGTCGAGCGCCTGGCACGCAAATTTGGCTTCGTCAACCTGGGGCAGGTGGGTGGGACCCGGCTGGATGGGAAGTGTGGGGCTCGGCGACCCCCAGACCCCAACAAAAAGGACCCGGGTCCCCAAGGCCCCCCAAATATCAAGAACCCCCAGCATACCCCTGCCACGGCCACCTTAGATTCTGGGTCTCCCAGAAGCTTCCACCTGGGCCCCTGATTGGGAGCATGCAAGCAAGGGGGCCGGCCTGGTTGGGGTGGGAGTGCCTCCAACAGGGAGCCGGTCCCAGCAGAGCGGCTCGGCACGCTTCCAGATCTTCCCTGACGGGCAGTACTTCCACCTCCGGCACCGGGGCGTGGCCCAGCAGTCCCTGACTCCCCACTGGGGCCACCGCCTCCGCCTGAAGAAAGACCCCAAGGTGAGTCTGGTCTGGGAGGCTACTTGTCTGGGTCTCAGCCACCTGGGGCCAACCAGCTGCCTTCTGTTATTCTTGTGATTGCTATGGTGGCCGTGTGGCCTCCAGCAAGTCACCAACTCAGCAATTCGCTTTCCACTTGGTCCCCACAGTGGGGACCAGATGAGGAGGTCTGTGTGAGCATGCCACCCCCAGGACCTGGTACAGAGTAGGCACTTATTGCCACTCCCTCTTCCTTCCTAAAAAATGAGGGGCCCCAAACACTCTGGTAAGAAGGGATGAATGGTCCTTCCTTTCTCCCCACCTCAGGATGGAGAGATGGGAAATGGCCCATTTGACCAGCATGTAAAAAGTTGCAGAGTAGGAAGCCAAAGCTGCCCAGTGATCTGGGGGCTCAGAGGGGTGTCTGCTCCCAATCAGTCCCTATCCTATCAAGAAAAGGTCTCAGATGCCCAGATGCAGAATTAGGATGGATTCTGGGGAGCCCTGGGTGCTGTGAAGTGGGGTGGGCTGCACTGGAGGGCTGCTTGCCCATAGCATTGGGGACTGAAAGATGTGACCTATACATAGTTTGCAGGAGAGCAGCCAGGGCTGGCAGATGGATTGGAAGAAATCAGGAGGAGAGAGAGAAATCAGGGCCAGTTCCCAAATCTGGAGCTAAGCAACCAGAAAAAGATGGCCCAGACCACTGAGATGGGGGCTGGGAATATAAGCTGAGTTGGGGGTACCAAGATGGTAAGAAGCAGGGATGGCAAAAGCCAGAAGAAGAGCATAATAGTATGTGCAAAGGTCCTGGGGTGGAAATGGATTCACAGGCTCTTGGAACAAGAAGGCAACCATTGTTAGTGAGCAGTAAGGAGGCTGGTAGTTGGCTAGACAGGTAGGGCTTGTGGGCAGTGGACAGGGAAATGGAGAACCAGAAAAGAAATGGGTGTGGACATTTTGGATGGGGAGGTAAAAGTGGCTGGTTTTTGAAGTGATGCTGAGGGACCCAGGGGGACCTTGACACAAGGATCTAAATCTGGGAGGGAGTAAGAGGCAGCTGGGATCAGAGGGGCCCCACTCATCCTCAGCTTTGGCCCTGGGTCTGTGGGACCTAAGAGTAGGTGTTCTGAGAGCTTTGGGCAGACAGAGGACAGAGGAGATGGGCCTGAGGAGCAGCAGCCCCAACAGACACAGAACCTCCCCAGAGGTCCTCAGTCCTCTAGTCCTCCTCCCACACCTGTAAGGCCTCAGAGATAAGCCCTGGACGGTCTGGCTGTGTCCCCAGGTGCAGTGGTTTGAGCAGCAGACGCTGCGGCGGCGTTTCAAGCGCTCCTTTGCAGAGCCCTCGGACCCCTGGTTCTCCAAGCAGTGGTACATGGTGAGCAGCTGGGCTGGGGCAGGCGGACAGGCAGGGCCAGCCAGAGCCCCGCTGACCAGACCCCTGCCTTATGCAGAATACCCAGGTGCAGCCGGACCTGAACATCCTGCAGGTCTGGAGCCGGGGCCTGACGGGGCAGGGGGTCGTGGTCTCCATCCTGGACGATGGCATCGAGAAGGACCACCCGGATCTCTGGGCCAATTACGTGAGACCCTGGGTGGCCAATGGGGGCTGCCCCAGATTCAAGGCTGGCCCCGCCCCAGGGATGCCTCAGACCCTCTCCTGTCCCCACCTGCCTCCAGGACCCCCTGGCCAGCTACGACTTCAACGACTACGACCCGGATCCCCAGCCTCGCTACACGCCCAGTGATGAGAACCGGTGAGTCCTGGTCCTGTGGGTGAGGGGACCCACTGTCCACAGGGCCAGGTGGGCTCTCATGGGTGCACTTCTTGGCCCTGGCACCAGGCATGGGACACGCTGTGCTGGGGAGGTGGCCGCCATAGCAAACAACCACTTCTGTGGGGCGGGTGTCGCCTTCAACGCCCGGATTGGAGGTACGCAGGGTCCCCTAGAGCACAGCCCGGGACAGAGGGGAGGGTCAGGCTGGGACATGTGGGCACACAGGCCTTGACAGCTGCGCAGTGCTGACCCCAGAGTGCAGTGCACGCATGGGCGGAGCCCCCAGGGAAAGGGACGGTGGGCGGCAGGCCTGGCGGGTGGCAGGCCTGGCGGGCAGCTGGTGGAGAGGCCCACGCCCCCCGCGCAGGCGTGCGCATGCTGGACGGCACCATCACCGACGTCGTGGAGGCCCAGTCGCTGAGCCTGCAGCCTCAGCACATCCACATCTACAGCGCCAGCTGGGGCCCCGAGGACGACGGCCGCACGGTAGACGGCCCAGGCATCCTCACTCGGGAGGCCTTCCGGCTGGGTGTGACCAAGGTGAGCAGGGGCCCACCCTGTGAGGGCCAGGCCTGGGCGCCAGGCCAATGCCCTGCCCCGTCCCTCCCCACAGGGCCGCGGCGGGTTGGGCACACTCTTCGTCTGGGCCTCAGGCAACGGTGGCCTGCACTATGACAACTGCAACTGCGACGGCTACACCAACAGCATCCACACGCTGTCCGTGGGCAGCACCACCAAGCAGGGCCGCGTGCCCTGGTACAGCGAGGCCTGCGCCTCCACGCTCACCACCACCTACAGCAGCGGGGTGGTCACCGACCCGCAGATCGTGAGTGCCCGTGACCCTCCCCTGACCCAACCGCAGAGGCCCCCGGCTCTGAGGCAGCCGCTCCAACCCCGCCTCGGGCCACCAGGCTGCCTCCCAGCGCCTCTGCAGGACTTCCCTCTCCACCTTCCCAGGCTCCTGAGGCGGGCACCCAGCCCTCCTGCTCTGGCCGCTTGGCCACCCTCCCTGTGACCCAGGCAGGACAGCTACCCAGGTGCCCGGCCGTACCTGAGCCTGGCGTGCCCTCTGACCTGTGCCTCCAGACCTTGGCCATCTGCCCCTTTATCTTCGGTGGCCTGGGATGGAAGGCAGGCCCCGCAGCCAGGGAGCACTCTGCCCCGAGCCACGTCTGAGACGTGAATCTCCAGTCAGGGTCTCGTCAAGTTGCCCAGGCTGGGATGACAGATGTGGCCACCTGGTGTGCTTTTTAGCGCTTTTTGAGTGCAGTTCTTGGTGCCTGTGAACAAGGGCTGCGTCCTCCCTGTGCACTGGCCCAGTCCACCCCCTGCCCCCAGGTCACCACGGATCTGCACCACCAGTGCACAGACAAGCACACCGGCACCTCCGCCTCGGCCCCGCTGGCCGCAGGCATGATCGCCCTGGCTCTGGAGGCCAAGTAGGTGACAGTGGGGGCCCTGCCCACCACCTGGCCCGCAGGCCCAGCCCCCTGCTCACTGCCCCTGCCCTCCCCCTGCAGCCCGTTTCTGAGCTGGAGGGACATGCAGCACCTGGTGGTCCGCGCGTCCAGGCCGGCGCAGCTGCAGGCTGAAGACTGGAGGGTCAACGGCGTGGGGCGCCAAGGTGCGATGGGGCCCGACGGGGCGGGAATGCTGTGCCCACCAGGAAAGTGACAGCCGCCTCTCCACACAGTGAGCCACCACTACGGCTACGGGCTGCTGGACGCTGGGCTACTGGTGGACATGGCTCGCACCTGGCTGCCCACACAGCCCCAGAAGAAATGTGCCATCCTGGTTGTGCATGTCCCCACGTGAGGGAGGCCCCTCCAAGGCCCTGCACACTGTGCACACCTCCCCCTTCCCCGCCCCCACACCAGCCACCACCACCCAGAGAGCGGGAGCCCCAGGGAGGCAAGCCCTAAGGCTTCACCCATTTGTAAAGGAGAGGGTGGCCCCCTCATCTTGGATACCAGACCCTCCTGCTGGCGCCCACCCCACAGGGGGCCAACTGGAGCGTCCTTGCCCCTGCAGCCCCATTCTGCCCCAGATGCACGTGAAGAAGGAGGTGTCCGCCTGTGCCGGCCGCCACAACTACATCCGCTCCCTGGAGCACGTGCAGGTGCAGCTGTCCTTGTCCTACAGCCGTCGCGGGGACCTGGAGATCTCTCTCACCAGCCCCATGGGCACCCGCTCCACGCTGGTGGCCATCAGGTGTGCGCCCACCCCCACCCACCAGGCCCCGGTAGTCACTGCCGCCCTCTGGAGGCCCTCCCAGGGGGCTCTGGCCGCGTGGCCCCAAGCCCGCCTGAGAGGGGCCCTTCTCCCCCTGCCGCCACCTGCCCAGGCCCCTGGATGTCAGCGGCCAAGGCTACAACAACTGGATCTTCATGTCCACCCACTTCTGGGACGAGGACCCGCAGGGCGTGTGGACCCTGGGCCTGGAGAACAAGGGCTACTATTTCAACACCGGTAAGAGCCGGGGCTGAGGTCGGGGGCTCCACCGTCCAGCCCCACCTCGGTACCCCATTGCCACAGCGGCCCCGGGTCTCCCTGGAGAGACCATGTGCACAGGCCTGTCAGGGCCAGCAGGGGTCCCCTTCCTGAGGAGGCCGAGTCCAGGCCCTGCACACAGGGGTGCTGATCAAGCCATCTGGTCTGGGCTCTGGGTGGCAGTGGCTGAGCAGAGGGGGCCAGGGCCTGGAGTACTAGGCCCCAACACCCTCTCCCCTCCCCACGCCACCGTGACCCCTGCCCAGGGACGCTGTACCGCTACACGCTGCTGCTCTACGGGACAGCTGAGGACATGATGGAGCGGCCCTCAGACCCCCAGGTGACCAGCAGCGCGTGTGTGCAGCGGGACACAGAGGGGCTGTGCCAAGGTGAGTGGTCAGCGCCGCATGGTCCACTTGCTGGGAGGCGTCGGCCGCAGGGGTGGTCAGTGTGCGTGTGCGGCCCAGGGCAGGCTGGCGGCAGGTGGGCCCACGAGGCAGGCAGCACCTCACACCCTCCGCGTCTGTGTCCCTCGTGCAGAATGTGACGGCCCTGCCTACATCCTGGGCCACCTCTGCCTCTCCTACTGCCCGCCCAGGTACTTCAGCAGCACCCGGCCGGCAGTGACCGCGGGGCCTGGGCGCGCGGCCGCGCCTGCCCTCCGCGTGTGCTCCGGCTGCCACGCCTCGTGCTACACCTGCCGGGGCGGCTCTGCGCATGACTGCACCGCCTGCCCCCCGCCCCACACTCTGGACGAGCACCAGGGCTCCTGCTCAGGGCCGCCATCCCCAGTGGCCACCAGCAGCCCTTGGACACCGCCTGCTCCAGCTGTTGCTGCCGCTGCCAGGCCCAAGCCATGGTACTGTTGACGGTGGCCTTTGAGCAAAAGTCTCCTCCTCTGCAGCGTCCAAGAGCTGCCCACTGTGGGCTGGGCTCCCAGTGCTGGGGGCCTTGCCCACCACCACCCCAGCCCCAGCTGCTGCTGGAACCTGGGGATGTCCGTCTTGGAGCACGGAAAGCCACCTCCGCCTGGGCCCAAGTGGGCACTACTGCCCTGCCTCAGAAAGCCTTGGCTGGCCACCCACAGTCACTGGCCAGGGTGTGGGCTGCATGGAACCCTGTGGCCTGGACCCAGCAGCTCCGAGTGAGAAAGAGAGAGAGAAGTCTTGGTGCAGGAGTGGGGTGGGATGAGGTGGGATGAGCAGAAGTCAGACCACAGCCACGGGTCCTTCCCTGTTGGGTCCAAGCAGCCCCGAGCACCACGTTCGACCTCAGAGTTCGCAAATAAAGGTTGAGTCAAAGGTGCCAAGCCTGGGTGTCCTTTGGGGCAGGGCGGGCCTGGTTGGGGTCCCCCCAGCCCTGCACTGCATAGGGAAACTGCCTTCCTGACGTCAGCCCTGAGGATCAGCGGACGACAAAGGAGGAATCAGCCCCTGGCTCTGGGGACCTGGGGCGGGGTTCAAGGTGGCAAGTGATGCTCACAGGCTGTGGATGCTGAGCGGCCCATCCCGGGCCAAGGCCTCTCCAGCCCACACTCCTCCTGAGCCTTCTCTTGCCCCACGCGGTGAGCCCCTATGCCAGCCAGCTGGGCATCACCTTGGAAATCAGTCTGGCAAGTCCACAGACGCATACGAGTTGGCCTCTGACCCAGCAGTTTCACTCCGAGGTGTAAACACGAAACACCCCACAGAAACCCCTCGGGCTCACAGCAGCGTGGTTCCCACAGCCAGACTGCGGCCAGCTCCACGATGCACAGACAGACACAATGTCCATCCACCTGGAGTGTCCCTCAGCCAGGGCAGGAGCCAGGGGACACACGCTGCAGTATGGATGGACCTGAGGACCTCATGCTCATTGAGAGCCAGACACACAAGGCCACAGTGTGTGACAGTGACAGGCGAGTCCAGAGACCGGATGTGAATCATGGGTGCAGGAGCCAGGCTGGGCAGTGGGTGACTGCTCATGGGGACAGGCTTTCTTCTGGGATGATGAGAATGTTCTGGAACCAGACTGTGGGGGTGACTGCATGACTCTGAATATACAACAAAAAACCCAGCACCCGAACCCTGAATCAGAACCACTACAGACACTAGGTGAGTGAACTTTGTGGTGTGTAAATCACGTCTTCATAAAGCTATTTAACACAACATCCTCCCTCTGCTGCTCTCGTTCTCCACCCCAGCCCTCACCGGCCCAGGTAGGGAGGAGGCTGTAGAAATTTGAGGCCAGCAGCCTGTAGGCACAGGCCTGTCGTCCCAGTGACTCGGGATGCTGGGCAGGAGGAGACCCTGTCTCCTAAAGGGCTGGGCTGTGGCTCCGGGATACTTTGGCCCTGGGCTCTACCCCCAGGGGATACGAACATAAACCCGAGTCCAGATGATTTGTCACCCGGCAGAGGAAACTCCACTCTCTCCCATCCCGTCCGGTCGCTCTCGGTCTCAGATCACACCGGCATCCTCAAGGGTGCCGCCCCTTTAAGAAGGGGTGGGCTCTTGCCGAGAGCCCGAGTCCGAGGAGGCCGGAAGCGCGCATCACGAGCGGGGTCGGCCGGAGCTCCGACCGGAAGCGGAAGTGCTGTGGTAGCGGCGGCTCCGGCGCCGGCAGGAGCGTTCCCGGGCGGTGGAGGTGGGCGGCCAGGTTCCGCGGGGAGACGGAGGTCGAGGTGGAGCGGAACCCCGCGGTGCCGAGCCGCGGTGTCGCGCGAAGGGAAGGCCAGAGCTGGGCGGCCCCGGAGGGCGCGGCAGGGCGGGCGGCGGGTGCGTGCGAGCTGTCAGGGCGGGAGGAACGGTCCGCGCCGAGCGAGAGGTGGACGCCCGGCCAGTGCTCCCTTCTCCGCCTCCAGGGATGGGCTCCAAGGCCAAGAAGCGCGTGGTGCTGCCCACCCGCCCGGCGCCCCCCACGGTGGCGCAGATCCTGGAGGACGTGCGAGGAGCGCGGGCCCAGGACCCCGTCTTCACCGCGCTGGCCCCGGAAGGTAGAAAGAGTCCGGCCCGAGAGGGAGGGACGGTCCCGGGCCCCAGCGGGAGAGGCCGGGTCTGCACGAGCTCCTCCTCGCCGAGCCTCCCTTTCCTCGTTCGAGGTAGAGTGGGTGCATTTTGCGGTCGTCTAAGTCTGTGTGCAAACCAGGCCTGCACCACACCGCCCGCGCCGCCTGTCCGCTAAGGCCGGGAGCGAGGAAAGGATCTCCACTTTATTTATTTTTCATGCTGGGGATGGACCCCAGGGCCTTTTTGCACCTAGGCAGTCGCTCTACCACTGAGCCACATCGCAGACCACGGGTTTCAGTGGGGGTGAGCATATTTCGAGATATGTGGAAGTAACGTGAAGTCATCTTCAGTGTCCGTAAATAAAAGTTTTTGGGTACGCAGCCAGTTTTTCCACTCCTGGGCCAGTAGCTGCTCTCACTGTAGACAGGGGTGGGAACAGACCTACAGAACTGTGGGGCACTCCCCTGTGCCTGCACACCTGTTAGCCTATCCCAGTAGCTCAGGAGGCTGAGGCAGAAGGTCGCAGGTTCCAGCCAACCTTGGCAATTTAGCAAGACTCTGCCTCAAAATAAAACGGCCGGCATGCAATCCAGTAGGAGCACGTGTGAGGCCCTAGGTTCCACCTAGCACACACAGGAGCTGAGGTGCACCATGTTCAAGGGAGAGAGAAGGGGCGCTCTGGGGCTCACTGGAGGGAAAGGGCATCTTCTCCTTGTCCCATCCTGTTTGCATGTGACCTACCCCCTTTTTATCTAAAACAATGGTGAAAAAGTGATCTGTAACCAAACGCTAGTGTTCCTGGCCTGCGGTGGGTGTTGGAGCTGGAATCCAGACGGTTATGGGCAGGTGAGGGACAGGAAGGATTGGAGGGAGTCCTGACGTGTCGCATGGTACCCAAAACCTGACCTTTGCAGTCCTGCAGCCATGGTCTTGTACCTTCTGGGAGCAGGGGAGTTTTATGTGCTGCTTGTGCGAGGTGCCCTGGGAAATGTGTCTCCACACCCGCAGTTCTGGAAGCACTGGGTCCTGTGGCTGCAGAACCACACAAGGCATCTGCAGGAGCTGGCATGTTGCAGCTCAGGCTTCCAGAGAGAGCAGGCCCAAGAGCCCAGTCTGAAGACAGAAATCGGAGCCCACCCAGGGAGGCCCACCCAGTGGCCTGGGTTGAGCTTTCCTGCGGGCCTTTCTGCAACCAGTCTGTTGCCAAGGTGAAAACCAAGAGGTCTCTCCTAGCCAGGGAGGGAGCCAGCTCAGCTCCCTCCTGCCCACAGCGTCTGCATCTGCCGTGCAGTTAGCTTGGTGAGATGCAGACGCCCACCTGTGGCTGCCCTGTGCGTGGAGGCCCATAGGTATCACATTCTGTGATTTGGGGCTCCTTGGTGAGTGAGGCTTCTGTGTCCATCCACAGACCTGCCAGGCCCCTCCAGGAGGACCGAGGACTCTGAGGATCAGCAGGAGCAGCTCTACCAGCAGAGCCGGGCCTATGTGATCACAAACAAGCGGCTGCGGCAGGCTAGGGAGGAGCTGCGGCAGAAGCGCGAGGACCTCCAGTTAGCCGGACAGGAGCTGGAGTGGGACATCAGCCAGGTGACCCAGGCAGCGCTGCCAGGGACCTCAGCTACCTCCTCAGGCTGACCTGGGCCTGCAGGTCTAAGGCGGCACCTAATGCCACCACCCCTGGCTCCTCCCTGGGGACCTGAGTGCCCCAGGCTGGCATTCCATCTGGGTTCCGGCACCGGGGGCCACCCGTGCTTCTCTCCTCCATTGGCAGCTACAGGTCGTGGTGTCTTCCCATGACACTGGGCTGGCAGGACCCACACCGTGGTCTCGGCTCTGCCTGGATATAGGGTGGAGAGGTTGGATGCTCTCTGGGGTTCTGTCCCCTCCTCCACTCACCACGGCCTCTGCTTGGACATGAGCCTCTGGGGCAGGGCCACCTCCTTCCTCCTTCAGGTCACTGCTCAGGGCACTGTGAACCTGGTTGCAGGAATGCGTGCTCCCCAGGAAGGGCTGGTCTGTCTGTTCACCTGGGTCCAGGTGCTGGCCAGGGGTCGGGGTGCAGGGCTGACCCGGTGACTGTGTTGGTTCGGCCAGGTGGGCCCCCACCCTGCCTCGTGTGGCCCAGGGGCCAGCCTGAGTTTCTGGCCCACCTCCTTCCCATGTTCAAGCTCCTGCCACAGACCATGGTGGTCTCACAACTGCTCTGGGCTGCTGAGGTCACTGGCTCCCAGAGAGAAGCCTGAGACTCTAGCCACACTTGGACTATGTCCCTGCGATCAGGGGATGTGCTGGCCACTCCTGCCCAGAGCCTGGCTGGGTCCTTCGGCCCTGTGCCCCGTCCCTTCTGGCCCTGTCCTCTGGGGGCAGGTGGAGGCTGGGTGGGAGGGTCTTGAAAGGAGTCTTCATCCTCAACAAACCGGCAGAGACCAGAGGAGCCACGGCCTGTGAGAGGTGGTCCACGGCCAGGCCCCAGGGATGAAATCCCCTCTGCAGCGACTGGGCTGCTCTTGTTCAGGGGCCGTCCTCAGATGGGCCTGTGTGGAGCTCTGAGTGTGGCACCGCCACAGTCCCGCAGGGGACACTGCTGGGTGGCTGGAGCCTGGCCTCGTGCCCCTCCTCCCCGCCGTTCCCCAGCGGCAGGCTGTCTCCTGCACCTCTCCCTGTGAAGGGTCACTGCTGAAGCCAGAGACTCCCTGACCGGACGCCGTCTTGGGCCCACACTGAACCTTTGGGCTTTCTTGTGGATCACCCACCCCAAAGCTTGCTACCTGGACAGCTGAGGACAGTTCTGTTCACCTTCATGGACCCCAGCTCACCTGGGCCTGCCCAGACCTCTGCCCTGCGGCACACTGGAGCTGGCAGCAAGGACTGAGAACCAGAAACAAAGCCCCAGGTGGGCCACCTGCCTGGGGAACTGTCCCCAGGGGACCAGGGCACTCAGCCAGCCCTTCCCTGTCTCTGAATAAACATCACCACGCTTTGGTCCGGCTTCCAGGACCTGACCTGAGATGTCCACTCAGCTCATGGCTCCTGGCTCAGCACAGGGACCCATCGTGGGGCCTGTGGTCGGCACAGACAGCCCCCTCCCCCCCATCCTCGGCACAGGAACCAGGGCAGTTGAGGGCAGTTCACAGCGCAGTTTATTCAAGACGCAGAGAAGCGGACGCCCGGTGGGCATTGTCCTGCCAGACAGATGGCTTCACCTGTGGGGTGGGCAGGGCTGGGCCAGAGCTATTTACAAGTGTGTAACAGGCCTGCTGCTAGAACCCGGCTGGCAGCAGCAAGAGCCGGCGACCAGCTGCAGGTTGGGGAGGGGGGTGGGGGTGGGGTAAGCACCCAGGTGGTGGTCATCCCCTCCAACTGTGGGCCCCCTCTTCAGTTCTCTGGGGCTGGCCCCAGAATGCTCCAGAGGCCTGGGGTTGATTGTCCACGCCACCAGCTGCCCTTCTGGCTCTTGCCTTCACCTCCTGCCTGGGCAGAAGGATGCCCTGTGGCTGTTCCTGCCTCTGAAGGGGACACAGAAAGCAACAGTGGCCGCTTGGTAGGGGGCCCAGCAGGAGGTAGCAGCTGGCAGCACATGGCCCCTTGTGTACCAGCTGTGGTGGGAGCTGTGTGCAGGGCTGAGGACAGCCCCCGGGAGCCTCCCATCACAGTGGCCACTGCTTGCCTGAGAGGTAGCTCCGGGAGCCCCCCCAGGGCCCACATGGAGAGACTGAGGCCCAGGCGGCCCTGTGGGCACCTGGCCTTTGAGCTGGGAAGGCTGCAGTCCATCTGCTGCTGTCCCCTCACCAACAGGCCACGCCAGGGCAAGTATGAGAGGACAGGTAGGCTACAGCTGGGGACAAGGTTTCCGACGCAGCTGGGGACAAGGCTACAGCTGGGGACAAGGTTTCCGACGCAGCAGGCCGAAGTCCCCTCTCCCAGCCACCCCGGGGCCTTTGCTCCAGAGACTCAGAAGCCTGGCCTGGCAGGCAGTGTTCTAGGGGTGGGAATTGCATGTCCCCAGCACCTGCCGCTGGGACTGCAGTTCGGGGGTGTGGGAGCCCGGCCATCCTGCCCAGCATCCTGGGTAGGTGGGCCGTGCAGGGTGCCGTGTTTTGGAGAAGGCGCTGGTGTGTGGGGAGGACGGGGTGCCTCATCTCCAGGGTGGGGTCTGTCAACTCCCACAGAGGGGCATCCGGGGAGACTGATGTCTGCCTCCTCCCTGACCTCAGCCAGCTGTGCTGAGGACCTGCCAAGGAGGGACCATGGTGCCCATGGTGGGCAGGGGGTTCCTTCAGAGTGCCTCCCACCCAGCTGCCCAACCTGCTTCCCTCCTCCCACCCGAGGGACTTAAAACCAGCCTGCGGAACAGCACCTGCCCCTTGGGACCTGCCACCACAGATGGCTCAGCAGCAGGTCCTCTGGCAGAGTCAGGTCCTGCAGGAAAGAGGTCGCTGGCTCTCTCTGCAGGAAGATGCCCAAGCTGGTGGAACACCGGCCCCCACAGGCCTTCCTGGTGCCTCTGCACACACTGGCCCAGGTCCCCCGAGGCCTGGCTCCTGGGGCACCCTGTTAGCTTCTCTGACCACCAGGCAGCTGGGGCTGAATTGGAGCAACTGTGGCCCCCAGGCTCCCTGTACCCCCCGACGCATCTGGCACCTTGGTACCCAGGCTCCATACCCCACCGCAAAGCCCACCTGGACGTCGGGCCCAGCCTAGGGCTACCCCTGCATGCGTAATGAAGGAGAGGAAATGGAAGGCAGAACCAGCAGGGGCAGCGGCCATCCTGGAGGAAGAGCTCCCAGTGACCACCCCTTTAAAGCACAGGTTGTAAGCCACAGCCTCCTCCAGGGACTCTCCCCTCCTCATCCATTAGGGCTGGTTCTGACTCCACTGACCACCAGGGCCGCTCCGAGGAGTGGAAAGGACCCCTGACGGTTGGCAGTGGTGGAGACAAGAGGTCAGCCCTCCCCGGCACCTTTTCTGTCTACAGAGGCCTGCCTGGCCCCCATTGTCATCCCCCACGCGGTGCAAGGGCCAGGCTGACCTGGCTGTCCTCTCGTGGCAGCCCCCAGGATGGCTGCTCCCAGCTTCCAGAGCTGCAGTCTGTGGGGCTCCGCCGCACCCTCACCCGGGCTCCCTCACAGCTGGGCTCGGAAGGCAAACAAACAGCCAAGCCGTCATTAACACATTACCCGAAGCAGTAATTACAGGCCTCGCCCTGCAGGCAGATGCCTGGGCCCCAACTGGTGGGCAGTCAAGCCACCCTCCCCCAGCTGGTCCCCACGCTCTCCTGAGGATTGCCCAGGTGCACAGAACAAGGCGACCCAGAGGCTGTCCCACCTAGCCCCCAGGTGAGCCTCCGCACGGTGGCTCCTCAGAGGCAGCTGGAGGTCTGTGCTCGTGACCGGCTTCCCGTCCCGCCCGACCTGGGCTGAAGGGCCCAGCGTGCGCTCGGCGGTCAGGGCCGAGCCTTTCCCATGGAGCCCGCGGTGCACAAGCAAGGTCCTGCCCTAAGCGAGGCTGATGTGAACTCGGGCGGCAGCGCTGAGGGCGAGGCGGTGGCCCTGCACAGCCTGCTCAGAGCATCTACGGAGCGGGCCGCGGGGCAGCCAGACCGGCCGCAGGGCCAGGAGAGATTTCTGGACGCCGGCCCAGGCCGTTATTCCAGGAGGCTGGCAGGGGCGGTGGCCGCCGCTTTCTCTACATACGAGTCGTTGGAAGCTGCCGAGGCCATGGGGCTGGGCACGTAGTTGAAGGGTGGGACCCGGGCGGCGCGGCTGGGGGAGCCGTGCCGGCTGGCGGGGAAGCCCCCGACAGCGACCCCCGGGCCCTCGTGGACGAAGGGGACGGAGGCAGATGCCTTGGCGGAGCCGGGCCCGTCCACCTCGCTGCCCAGGCCGGCGGCGCCTCCCGCGGGGACCTGCGGTGGGTCTCTGCTCTCCAGACTCGGAGAGGTGCTGGAGTTGGTCTTGGGGGCGGCCACCTCTTCCGTCTGCACCACAGCGTCGCTGGTCTTGCGCTGCGGGGTCCCGACCGGGCCCTCCTCGGGCGAGGCGCCCCGGAGCGGCAAGGCGGTGGCGGGCAGGGTGCTACGCAAGATGTGCGGGACGTCCTCGTCCCGGATGCGCCGCCACGTGGTGCCCGGCGCCGCCACCCTGGGCAGCGGCCTGGCCTCCCCGTCGCTGCTGCGGCGAGTGGCGTCGGCGGGGGCCGGGCACCCGGCGACGCCGCCGTCGGACCTTCGGGCCACGCTGATGTGCGGCAAGGAGGCGTAGCGCTTGACGGCCTCGGGCCGCGGGACGGGCGCGCGCACGGGCAGGCGCGACGGGCTCTCGGAGCTGGTGCGTCGGGGCGCGCGCGGGCCGGGTCCGGGGCTGGGCACGGGGCGCGCGGCGGGGGAGCGCTGAGGGGCTGGGGGCTGCCGCGGGGCCGCCCGCAGCTCGTCGCAGCGCGAGGAGCAGAGGAACACCGCCGGGAGCGCAGGCCGGCCGCGGCGGGGTGAAGCGCCTTGGGGGACGGAGGCTGCGGACTCTGTTGAGGACAGCTCGGAGCGGCGTCGACGCAGCAAGCCCGGCGACTCCTTGATGAAGGTCAGCTGCCGCCGGAATCCCGAGCGGTCGGAGGACTCGCTGCCGCTGGAGCGGGCCGAGGCCACGCGCACCAGGCCCAGGCGGCCCCCGCGCGTCCCCGGGACTCCCTCGGCTGCCGCCCGGCTCCTGGGACCCGGCTCTGGGGTGGCCCTGGCTAGCGGCGGCGGCCCCCGTCTAGCCGGCCTCTGCATGAACGGGATCCGCACGGGCGACTTCTGTGTCTTGTGTTGCTTGGCCAGAAGGGCCCGAGCAGGCGTCTTGGGTAGCGGGGTCGCCTCGGGGCCAGGCAGGGGACCTGCAGCCGAGGTGGCCAGAGGGGACTTCCTGGGCAGGGGCTGGGAAGCGGGAGAGGTCTGGGAGGAGCTGGAGGATGGGGTCTTGGCCAGGCGGGCAGGTGGTGTGGCGCTCCTAGGTGGGCGGCTCAGTTCTGCCAGCTCTGAATTCTTGCCAGGCCGGTGCAGGCTCCGGGACCGCTGCTGCCCAGGGTTGGAGGCTCTGGCCTTGGCCTCTGGCTGTGTGGGGCCAGGGTTCCCCATTTTCCTGGGTGTGGCACGGGGGCCAGGGATGCCTTTGGGCTGGGCTCGATGGGCAGGACTGGGCACATAGATCACGGTGCGACCCCGAAGGACAGCAGGCCCCTCAGGCACAGTCTTCTGAGCGAGGTGCCCCTTCTCAGGGCCTGCAGGTGAGCGGGGGCTCCCACTGCTCTTGCTTATGGCCAGGCCCCGTTTCTCTGGCCGCTGGGCACTGCCCACCTTGGCCCCTGCTCCGGGCTGTCTCCCCTTCCTGTGCTTGGAGGGCGGCAGGGTGGGGCCCCCTGACAGCCCAGACACCAAGGACAGGAGGGAGTCAGATTCTGAGGAGGCCTCCATGGTGGCCGCTGCCGCCGCCTGGTGCAGCCACGTGACAATGGAGTTGGCCCCGTCCTGGATGGCTTGCCACTCCACGCTGTCCAGGTCCGAGGCTGGGTCTGAGCCTGCCACCTCCTCACTGCACCCCTGAGGTACCTCTGCTGGCCGGATGTCCAGCCGTGTGACTCGGGGCTTGCGACGCCGAGGGCCCGAGGCTTGGGGCCGCCGCCTAGGCATGGCTGAGCCGATGCACCTCCGCAGTAGCTCCTCCTCAGCCCGTGGGCTTGGGGAGCTCTCTTGTCCACTGCTCGGGCCTGGGTCCTTGGTGGCTGCTGGCTCCTGACCTCGTGGACCACTGGCTGGCCGCTCGGAGAGCTCGGGCTCACTGAGGGAGCTGGCCGAGGAGCTCAAGGAGTAGCAGGGGGGAGTCTCATCCGCGATCAGCCTGGGTTGGGCCCTTGCAGGTGGCGGGACAGTTGAGGGGAGCTTGGATGGGGCCCGGGCCTCCTTCCTACCCATCAGGCCCTCCCGTTTTAGAGCGCGGGGTATAGCAGATGCCCTCTGGGGGGCTGGAGCTGTGG